TCCCCACCCAAGCCCCTCTTTATGGGCTGCAGAATCCAGAGCCATTTCAAGAGAAAACTTGTTTTTCTAAAAGCAAAATACCCCCTAAACACACCCACTGTTCATTGTACCATTTCAGGCTTTTCTCCTTCACCCACACTCCTGGTTTCAGCCATTCGAATCCCTCCTTCCGAGAAAAAAAGGGGAGACAAGTCTTTAGGAAGCTGGACCGAGGCAGCACAGCATCCTCGGGGCAGGCTGCCATCCTGCAGCCAAACCTGACCAGGCTCCCGGGATGTGATTCCCGGCACTGCTGCAGGAGGGAGGAAGGGCTTCCCTTGCAGCATCTCATTTCACCCAACGCCATCAAAGGGCCGCTCCCCTGTACCATCTTCTAACCAAGAAATGCGAGCTGTGGAAGAAATCCAGGGCTGGGAAGTCCTGAGAATACACAGAAACCCCTCCAGGTTCTTTGGGTTGGCATTGGGGGATTTTATAGGGCATTACTGTCTCTCATCCCTGTCTCCCTTTCCATTACCCATTTAGGCAATACATGATCTCCATAAAACAAAATGTAATTCCTGATTTCTTTACATCCAGCTACACAGCATGCAAATTTTTCTTAGGGGGAAAAAAACCCCCCTGTAACATATTACAAAAACAATATTTAATTGGCATGTAGCAGAATCTTCTAACGGTACAAGGTAATGGCAGCAATATTTTAAATTGGCAAGTTTATCACCTGTCTATTCATATTAAAATAAAAAGCCCACCTGCTATCTTGCATCAGAAGGGTGTGTGTACGGGGGAGGAAGGGGAACAATGCTGCCATACCAGCTACCTCCTCAGCACAGAACTCCCCTGAATCCCACGGAGTAAAAAAAAAAAAAAAATTGAAAAAACCAACCCAAACCTTCAGAATAATGATAAAAAAAATAAAACCCGATGGTTTTAGGAGTGCGTTGATGTCGAGCCGCCCCAGAAGGCGCCTGTCCTACCTGAGACGGTGCTGGCCATGCTGCGGCGGGAGCGGAGCGGGTGCTGCAGGAGCGCAGGAGCTGCGGAGGTGCTGCAATGCTGCGGGGAGGGAGGACTGACTCAGCTGGAGGGGGCTGCAGCCATCCGCGGCGGGGAGAGGCTGGAGCGCCCAGAGAAAGGCGAGGGGTGGAAAGAAAGAGAAGGGTCACTAGTTCAGAATATTAATGAGCGTATCAGGCCTCCTTTCCTGGGTGGCTTTGACGGCAGATCCCTCCCAGGCAAGCCTGGCTGCCAGGAACACAGCCCCACGGGGGAGGGGGGGAGACACACCCAGCCGGGCGCTGGCAAAAGAGGATTTTTCCTCCTCTTCCTCCCTTTCTTGTCTGCTTGAGATGAGCTAAACTGCTTTTCTTCCCTTGCTGAAAGCAGAGATAAGCAAATTCATTGATTTTTTTTTTTTTTTTAAACCATCTATTCCAAGACAGCCTCACCTGCAGGGCCAGGTCGGGGGTCAGGCTTAGCTGGGCTGAGATGTAAAACCCAAACCCCAACCCTTGCAGCAGCTTTAGGCAAACAGCAAAGGGAGGAGGGATCCCAGACAGGTTTTTAGGCATGGGTTTAGCTTTTTTTTTGCACCAGCACTGAGGCACTAAAGGAGCTGCAGTTTGGGGAGGAAACTGCTGTAAAAGTAGAGGAGGAAGAGCAGAATGGAGCCTTCTCACTTCAGTGAGAATTCTCCAGGTTTCTCCCCCACCCCAGGCAGCAGGACCTCTCTTCTTCTCATTTGCTCTCTGTTCTCTATCATTTCTTTCATTTCCATTTGTGGCTCTTGTTAGGGGCCAATGCTTCTGTGATTTTAGAGCATCACACACACATCTGGGAGCAGGGAACCCTCCCAAACCCACACATCTCCCAGCATGCTGCAATGCAGACACTCCCAAACAATTCCAGCTGCTGCAGGGAACTACAGGTTGTTGGAGTAGCTGCCAGTGCTATGGCTTGGTCAGGGGCAGAAGCCACAGGCAGTACCTATTAAATTCAGTTAAAAAACCCAGAGATTTTCCTTTTTTCCTAATTTTTCCCCCCCCAATCTCCAAGTGTCCTATTCCTTCAGCATTGTATTTAAAAACAAAAACAAAAATTATAGAAAATTAGTCTAATTCAGAATAAAATTAACACTACCCACACATTTTCAAAGCGTGTTTGCAACAGGAGCTTTTTTATGACCTTTCACTGCTTCTTGTTCTGTCCAAAGCCTGTTTTGTAGCTTCAACTCCCTCTACTTTCTCCTTGGATTGAATCTCTAGGGCTTTATCTGTTATCTTTGCCATGATCAGAGGAAGGCAGCCATCCCAGGCACCTGACTGCCGGAATAAGTTCCCAGCTCTGTTCAGGATGAGCTCTGGCTTTGATGTACCCAGTAGTCCCAAGAGGGTCTGGCTACCTCTTGTGACATTCTGCATCTTCTGGACATCAATCCTGTACACATTTTATTCCTTTTATTGAAGGGAGGGAAGAGAAGGCTTTCAAGGTGCCATGGCATGTGTCCCACTGGAATACACTGTGTGAGAAATGGGGAACAAATGATTTGGAGGGTCAGGGTGGAAAGCTATTTCCCAACAGTAAAGAGACAGAAAGGCTCTGGATTACCAGGATTTAAAGGAATCAAATAATTTTGGGACAAACAAAAATTTTAGCCTGTTGTTATGGGAACCATCACATCTCAGGACAACGACTGGTAACTTAATCCTCTCCTGTCTGAAAGGATGAAAATAACCTTCATGCCAACCACAGGAGTTTCACAGCAGGTCCTCGTGGCTCTAGGAATTCTTTTGTCCCATTTCTGAAGATTCCTGCTCATCTGGAAGCATCTGGATCTCATCTAGGAAGAGAGATCCTGCCTGGGCAGCCTCTGAACAAACAGGAGCATTATTCCTTTTGCATTTCTTCACAGCACAAGTGTCCTCCTTTCCAGGTCTCCATGACATGGTTCAGCTATTTCCCCACAGAGGTTAAGGATCATCTTTTCCAAGGTTTATATTTTGCATATTTTTTTTTCCCTGAAAATGAAAAATAGTTCAGCCAAGATCTTCCCCATCCACTAATGAGAGGAGAAGGGCTGGTTCCCTCTGCCTGAGCTGGCAGGGAGAGGCTGTTCCAGGTGAAGGGCTGGACTGTCACACAACCCACATTTTGCAAACCTCTCCTCCCTCTCCAAACTCCTGCTTTATAAGAACTCAGGGTTTACCCCAGGGAGCCAAACACCAGGATGATGATCCAGTTTAAGACAACACCTTTATTTACCATCCCTGTACCCCAACACAGGCGCTGCAGCTCCACCAAACCCTCGCAATCTCTCCGCAACCTGAACAAGAAATAAATGTTTCTCTTTAAAATTACAAACCATTGCCCCCCCCCTCCCCGTTTCCTCTGCTCTGTTTTTAGAAGAACCTGGTGCAGCAGTGCTGGAGGCAGCCTGGCTGCAGCCTGGTCAGGTGGGGTCACTGGTGCAGAGGAGCAGCCCCAGGAGATGCGGAGCCAGCGGGAGCTGAGTCATGTTTGCTGTGGACACAGGCACCTGCTGACTCACACTCCTGCTCTGGGCTGGGAGTCTTCCAGCCCTTCTCTCCCAGCAGGTAACACTGCTGCAACCAACAGCTCTTAAACAAGGGAAAATAATCTCATTTGGCACACAGTTGACACTGCTCTTCCATGTAGGAAAGATCTGTTTACAGGAAATAACGACGACACGGTATTCCATGTATTTATGAGGAGACCTGAACCTTTATTGTCCCTACAGGTTATCCAACACTCTCATTTTACAATCTCTACAAAGTAATTTCTTTTGCAGCTTAACCTTGCATGATTGGTATCACGTTGAAGAGCTCACAGTCAGAAACATGAGCAAAACCAGCTGTTACGTTTTGCATGGAGTGCCATGAAGATCCAAAGGAATAACTCCGTGCTCTCCAGCCCATTCTCCATAATTAAAGACAATTTATAATCCAGCCCACTCCCTATAATCAAAGACAGTTTATAATCCAGGGAAGTTCAGCTCACGGAGTTTAAAGGCTGGTGATGAAAACAGCAACACCCGTGAGCTCCCCTAACCCAACACCAAGACAGAGAAGGTACCACATTTTGGGAACAGCACAGATCACACAGAGTTTAATTCACATAAAGTTTTCTGTTCCTTTTAAAATCAGAACTTCTGCACACAAACCAACTGTGCAGCTGGCTAGGGATAGATAATTTTAAAGTTACAACAGAAGAAGACATATCCTGTTCTACATCTACACAGTGACCATCTGACAGCGTGAGATGCAGCAATAAAGCACAGAGACATCTGTAAAATATTTCGTTCCTGCCTTCTCCCTCATGTAACTGCATAAAACGTTTTTTGCAAAATTTGGAGGTCCGGGTAAACCATGCCTTGTTAAAACACCTGGGTCTTAGAAACTGAGTAATCCATCAATCCAGAGCAGTTCGCTGCAGTCACACACGTGTGGAACCAACCCTCGGCCTGAGCACCTGGAATGCTGACGGAGCCGTTCCATGAATACACTGACAGGGGGCTGAAGGGTGGGAGCACCGCGCCGAAGAAAAGCTGGGAACAAAGGAGCGGCACGTTCACCCCAAACAAAAGAGACCCGTCAGAATTCATTACTGCTCCTAAGGCAGGAACCACAAGGCTCGACACAGAGCGGCAGAACCCCTCCCACCCTAAAGGCTGAGGGTTTCACAAAGCCTCCTGTCGTGTTCTGCCCTCTCTTCCCTGCAGCACCGCCCAGCACAAAGCACAGCGGGGTCCTGGACACCGCCCGGCCAAGGGCAGCGCTCATCACACGCTCCTGAGTCCTTAAAAAGGGCAGAAACGCCAGTCCCGGGCAGCCCCGGCGTGGGGCACCCGCACACGGCTGGGAAGCCTTAGAAATGCAGTTTTTAGCGACCGGACGGCCGATTTCTGCCTCTTCGGGGCCCCACCTCGGCCAACGCCCCGAGGGAAGCGGCTGCAGGACCCTCCGGCTGAACCACCTGTCGGGGGAGCGGGGCCTGCTTCCTTCAGGTGCAGCAGGGCCCAAACCCCACCGGGCTTGGACCGCTCCTGCCCGGGACCCCTTAGAGGACACGGCACCAGCCCCCGAGCCGCGCTCGCTCCCCGGGCCCGGGATCCCCCGGGACCCGCCCCGGGCCCGAGGTCGGGCCCGCCATGGCCACCGCCTCCCCTGGCCGTTACCGCGGCAACAGCGCCGCTCTCGCGAGAGCGCCCGCCGGAAGTCACGCGCGGAGCGTGAGTGGGGCGGGCACGTGACACGGGCGCGGGGATTGCGAACGGCGGAGCCGGAGGTGCGGGAATAGGGGAATACCGGGACACGGGAGAGTGTGGGAATACCGGGACACGGGCGTACGGGAATGAGGGAGTGTGGGAATACCGGGACACGGGAGTATGGGAATGGGGGAATGTGGGAATACCGGGACTCGGGAATAGGGGGATGTGGGAATATGGGAATACCGGAACGTGGGCCAGAGCGGGTGGAGGGGACCGGGAACATGGGAACCCGGGCCCCGAGTGCCCCTGAGCCTCCTGCCCGGCCCGCCGGTACCGCCCCGTCCCAAATTGCGTGTGACCTGATTGTCCCTTCGGTGCCAGGAGGGGCCGAAAAGAAAGGTGGAGGGAGCCCGTTTAGAGGGATCTGGAGTCACAGGACAAGGGGGAATGGATTCACACTGACAGAGAGTAGGGTTAGATTGGGTGTTAGGAAGGAATTCTTCCCTGCGAGGGTGGTGAGGCCCTGGCCCAGGTTGGCCAGGGAAGCTGTGGCTGCCCCATCCCTGGAAGTGTTCAACCAGGTTGGACGGGGCTTGGAGCAACCTGGTCTAGTGGAAGGTGTCCCTGCCCATGGCAGGGGGTTGGAACAAGATGGGCTTTAAGGTCCCTTCCAACCCAAACCAGTCTGTGTTTCTGTCATTCCGATAACACCGTGGCAGCAGGATCAGTCACAGCCTGTGTTTCCTTGCAGGCACTGACAGGACCATGCCCAGGATCACTCTGAACGGCATCACAGTGGATTTCCCCTTCCAGCCCTACCCATGCCAGGAAGCCTACATGGCCAAGGTGCTGGAGTGCCTGCAGAAGGTGGGTCTGTGCTGCCTCCATGGGGGTAATTGGCTCATTTGCCAACTGCACAAAATGATTTCTCTAAGAAGAAGTTGTCACAAATCAACTTTCCTTTATGTAGTCTGTTTGCTACCTTTTCCAAGTTTTCTGTGACCTTTTGCTTCTATTTTTATTTTACTCTATGGTTATTGAAAACCCACGTGTCAGGTGACACTCAGTAGAAATATAGATAGGATGTTCCTGCCTAATTTGGGAAAAGGAAATAAAACTGAGCAAGTAGTACTTGTATTCATGCAGTCTGTCCTTTGCTGTCTGGGGTGTCATGGAATCATCTATGATTTGGGTTGGAAGGGCCTCATTAGGTTGATTAGAGGGTCCTACAGGTCGTGCATTGATGATGACCTTGTGTGTGTGTGTTCCTTGGTAGGTGCTGCCAGCTGGTGTTTGCTTTTTGCAGAGGACGTGCAGTACCGCACGAAGACCTGTTCTAGCTGAACCTCCAAATGACTCACTTATTCCCTTATTATTTTATTTCCGTCCACTAAAGAAGGTGAATGGCATTTTGGAGAGCCCCACAGGCACGGGGAAGACCCTCTGCCTGCTGTGTTCTACCCTGGCTTGGCGGGAGCACTTCAAGGACACCATCTCAGCCCGGAAAATCGCTCAGCGTCTGCACGGGGTGGAGCTGTTTCCCGACAGACCCCTGTCCTCCTGGGGCACTGCTGCCACGGATGGTGATGTCCCGAGTGAGTACCACCACCTTTGCCCTCAGGGATGTCAGTCAACACTTGCTTTTGTCTATCTCTTATGATAAACACATGATTATAGAAGTTATGGAGCTGTTGTTGAGCGGCTGAAGCACAGTTTCACCGTTTTATAGGTTTTTCAGGGTGTTTCACATGGTTTTCATTTTTTCTTACAACGTTAGAAACTCATTTAGCTCATCTGGTGGGTGTGAGTTGTTAGATGACAGAATTTCCTGCTGTCTCTACAAGGCAAACTGTTACCATAGTACCAGCTGGGAAAAGAGGCTAAGAATATCCCTAGTTCTTCTGTCCCTGCTCATAATGTTTTTCTGCTTTTTTCCTCTTCTGTTTGGCAGCTTATTACACTGACATTCCGAAAATAATTTATGCCTCCAGAACTCACTCCCAACTTACACAAGTCATTAACGAGTTGAAGAACACAGTCTACAGGCAAGTATGATTTAGGGTAGTGTTGCTATTCAAAGCAAAGGTGGACAAACCCATCTGATGTAGTTATTGTTTGAACTTCTGTGGATGGATATAAAAAGCTATATCCAGAGAAATGTCATTCCCTTACTGTGCCTGAATAGAACCTGGATTTCATTGTTGTTGGGTCTGGTTTATTTTAATACTCCACAGCTTCTCTTATCTTCTTCAATCATAGAATTTTCTGAATTTAGTATGGTTTTGGTTCTTCACTTGGCACATTTACTTATAAAATTACCTTTTCTAATTCCCTTTCTTTATATTCTTCCTGGGCATTTCTTTAAGGCAGCGGGAAGCTGTTACCAAGCTGAATTCCTCAGGCTGATGTAAATCTATGAAGAACTTTGTGGGTTTGTTGTACCAATGCCTGTCACAGTTTTCAGCTGTTGACCTGCCAGTGTGTGGCCGAGCTCTTTGGACAGGCAGTAGTCATTTGTTTATATAGTTCTTGTAAAGATACAACCTTGTGATAAGCAAAAAAAAAATAAATATTGTGAATGTTTGTAGAGCATCAGTTCTGTCACAACCTTGCTCTGAACATCCCCACCAGCTCAAAATGTCTTGTAATGGATGACAGGCCCAGCTGACTGGGCTAAACTGTCATAACAGAACCCAGACTTTGTGGTGGATGGTGTAAGATGCTGCTGTTACCTCCTGCTGTGAGCTGCTGCTGCTGCTTATTAACACTCTCTGCTGCCACAGAAATGCAGTGCCAGAAAGCCAAATAACATGTGCAACAGTTACAGACAGATTAATTTACTTGTTCCGGTTTTTACCCTTGTTTTGAGCTCATCTGTTTCTCCTGAATCTTTCGCTTTTGATACATTGAATCTAGACACTTGCAACTCTGCTCTTCTTTCTTGCCTTGTTTTTAACATTGGTTTTTTGTATCCTGTTTGAACAGGCCAAAGATATGTGTGTTGGGATCCAGAGAGCAGCTTTGCATCAATCCTGAAGTGAAGAGACAGGAGAACAACCACATGCAGGTGAGATCAGAGCCTAGAGAGGATGTACAGGGAGAACACGGAGGCTTTTGTGTCATTTGTGTGTCATTCTTCACTCTGATGTTGTTTAAACCACTGGGGGCAGTAGGGAAACACAGTAGCTGTAAATGTGGTTCAAGGAACTTTTAGTTTCTAGTTTTGTGAGTGCAAAATATGATTCTGAGTCTCTGGTGACATTTTCTGTCCAGAGAAGGATCACAGAATCACAGATGTCACTGTGTAGAACATGACAGTTAATATTTTGTGCTTCACTTTCTGACCTGCCTCTTAAGTGTTTGTCAAGAACGATAATAATTTAGATAGTGCTTCAGTTATTGATTTACCTGTTATTTTTACAACATCAAGGATTAACAGTTTTGAAGAGTACTAATGGCAAAACACAGCAAAATTGTCTCAGAGCAGCTGAGTGTTCTGTGCTGCAAAAAAGAGAGCCTGACTTGCAATGTGGACAGAGGGACACGTGATTTTAAAGCTGAAGAATTGTAATTAGCCTTATTAATTATCTGGTGCTAGAGAAAATTGGTATCTCCTCACCCCTTAACCTGCTTCTCAGTGCTTGACAAGCTGTGCCACTGTGGGCTAAAATAGACTTTGTTTTGCAGATCTACATGTGCCGAAAGAAAGTGATGGTTCGTGCTTGTCACTTCTATAACAATGTGGAAGGTGAGTTGGGCTCACCTTTACTTCACCTGGAAGCAAAGCCCCATTTTCTGGGGAGGGAGAGGTTTGCTAGGCACGTAGAAAAGTTTGGAAGAGTTGGCAGAATCTATCTGTGTTTTGCTCTGTGTTACTGTCTTTCAAGAATGAAATGTTAATGGGTGAGTGTGATGATCAGAGTAACAAGAAGTCTTTGTGTGATACCTTTACCTAAGCTGATGGCTTTAATGTCATGTTTTACAGAAAAGAGTACAGAGAAAGAACTGATTGAACCAATCATGGATATTGAAGACTTGGTTAAAAATGGAAACAAGCACAGGTGAAGGATCCCCTCTGACCTTCCTCCCCCTGACTTGTGAAAATAATGAACACTACTTTTCTGCTCACTCTTATTATTACCTTTGTATATCATAGTTCACGAATTTTGAATGCAATCTTAATATTTCTGCAAGTATTATAGTTTGTATTACTTTTTTTAAACAGAGCTTGTCCTTATTATCTCTCTCGAAGCCTGAAGCAGCAAGCAGACATTATTTTTATGCCTTACAACTATTTGCTAGACTCAAAGGTAACATATGTATTTGCTTTTAAATACAATTGTACTTCTGTTTGTCTTATGTTGGCTTTCAGTGGATAAGCTGTGAAGAATGATGCCTAGCAAGTGGATGCATTATGTGGATACTTCAAAACTGATCAAACCCCAGTTCAAGTTCAGAACCATAGAGGGTGACATTTTGAGGGTTCTCTGTAAATTCTTTCCTACAGTTAAGAAATTGTTTGTTTGTTTGTTTGTTTGAGATGTTTAGATTTTTGTAGAATTAGCTTTGTAGAATGTGGTGCCCTTCTGGTTGGGGATATTCACCTTCTGGACACAAACCTTCAGTCACACACTATGCAGTATTTTTGCATGTATCCTGAGACATTTTTGTTTCTGCAGCAGCTGCATGATTTCTAGAATAAGGAAACTTCAGTAGAGATTGGACATATCCCTTGGAAATAATCCCTTGGAAGTAATGATTTTTTACTACAACAAAGCTGTTGTAATAAGTTGCCCATATTTCATGGATAGAAAATGAAACCTCTGAAAACTCTGTTGAGGAAACTAATGTGCTGACATCTTCATGCAACTTGGAGTAATTCATGAATTATAGCAAAACCCAGATTATGCTCCACTGCTGCAGAAGGACCAAATGCTTAATAAATTAAAAACTAAATTTAAAAAGTATCCTAAGCACCATAAGCAAAGAAGCTCTGTGAAATGAGGTTACATGGTGTGGTACCGGTGGGGGTGTTTTCAGAGCATCCACTTCTTGCAAAGACAACAAAATTTGTCAATACAAGACAAATGCCCTGCTTCACACTCCACTCCAATTGCCAAAAATAGTAACTGAAATGAATTCTGTTAAACTTGTACATCCCAGTATGGTACATCTGAGGTTATTTGTTTATAACAAGTCGTAACCTCTGTAAACTTTTACATGATGCATTTTAACACCTTCGTTTCCAGAGAAAGTGATTCTGTGGTTTCTGTATTGATTAGCCACAGCCTTTACTTGCTGTTTTTCCAAAGGGAAAAACCAACCCAGCTTCAAAGTAGATGAAAACCCAAATCATCCAATTTCCCAGCCAATCAAATCCATACTTCTCAGTGGCCTTTCTGTCCATTCCCTTGTTCTCTTTTTTTATCTTTAGAGTCGGAAAGCTCACAACTTAGACCTGAAGGGGACTGTGGTAATACTTGATGAAGCTCACAATGTGGTAAGTTGTTCTGGTCTGTTGCCATTTTTCATCCACAGAGAAAATAGACTTGTGTCCAATTACAAACAGTCTATAAAATCTGTACTCAAATGTATGGTTTTGATACTCATTATCACAAACAGTTCTTGTTTCCATGACAGTTAAAGGTTTGTGATTTAAGTTACAGTCCTTTGACACTGCTTTTTTTGACACTGTTTTTTTACAAGGGGATAGTTTCTTTCTGAAAGGTGCATCTCCAAATTTATGAGGTGCTTATTTTCTTGGAGACTTCTCTTCCAGGGTCTAAGAAATCATGAAAGATCCATTCTTGAAGCTCAGCTGCATCAGCTCCCCCAAGTGCAATAGATAGCAGACACGGCTCTTGTAATATTTCCAAGTCTTCACTCATAGAGGAAAACAAGAAAAAACAAATAGTGCAGCGTTGTGAGTTCTTCTTTTAACTGGCTCAAAACTGCAGCCCTTTGCCTAAATGATGAATTGCAAAGGAACTTGAAATATGTCCCTTTTTTCTGCCACATGAAGAACCTCCTAGTGGGATTTCTGCTGAACAGCTGTGGTTTCTGGTCTGATTGCATGTGTCCTTTCAGTAAACAGCCACACCAAGGTCTACTGTGCTTCACTAGAGAGTGAAATTGCATAGTTGCATTCAGTATTTGCTCCTTTCACCAGAATATCTGTTTTTCTGTTGAAAAATGAATGGAGATCCAGACATAGTTGTTTGGGGTTTGGATTTTTTTTTCCCTTTGTAGTGTTTAAAAAGTACTAGTTGATGTGCCTGCATGCAGAAGCTAACTAGAACAGCTACTCTTTTTGCAATAGTTCTCTGATGGTATTGCCTGTTCCAGGTTAATATGTGGAAACTTAGTGATTACCCCAAAATAAAATGGATTTATTTCTGATTAGATTGTTTACACATGCAGCTAGCTCAGCTTTTTTTTTTCTTTATAACTTGTTTCTTCATAGCTATTGCAGTCAAATTTTTGTGTAGGTTAGACCTTACAATTTATCTTTGTTCCTTGGGGAAAATGATTCTTTTTGTGAATGAAAATTTCTGGCAAAACTGTATGTGAATTAATTTTCAAAGTCAGAGAGAGTTTTGTCAAATTTGTCGGTTATGAGTGTTTAAACCATTACTTCTTTTTTAATAGAAAGTGTGTTTCCTTCCTTTTCTTTAATAGTATTTATTTATTCTGCCATGTGTTTTGGCCCAAGTTTTACGTAGGAATAATAAACATTTTACTGTGGTTTTTTATTTTTGTTTTCCTTTTCATGGTGTCCCTTCCCTTTATTCTCCACATCCTCATCTCTGCAAAATGAAGAGGGGCAAGGATCATGTCTTCCTATGAGTGAATATAGGGATACAAGTATTTTCTAAGAGTGTGAGAGGGACCAGAAGTAGCTTTTTTGAAGGACGAACTGATTCTCTAAGTAAAAAATTTCCTGTTTGAACAGTTTGTCATCAAACAATTACTGTCTGTACTCTGTAGAATGTTAATAACATGGACAAGGCAAAATCTGTTCTACATTTCAGAAAAAAAGGACACTTAGTAAAAGTCAGTCTTCAGGTGCTTATAAAATGTCCTCTGGCCTGAGCTGGAGATCAGAAATGAAATCAAGCCCAGTCATCTGGACTTCATCATCTCTGACATTGCCCGAGCAAACAGCACACAGAGCAGTCAGAAAAATTCTTCCATTGCTTATATTTTAGGAGAGGTTGTGTGAGGAGTCCTCTTCCTTTGACCTGACTCCCTATGATTTGGCTTCGGCGATGGACGTGATAAACGTCGTCCTGGAGGAACAAGCCAAAGTCGTTCAACAGAATGAAATCAATGCTGAATTCAACATGGAGCTGGCCAGTTCAGGTTTGTTGGCAACCACAAATCGCTGTTCCTCTGGGATTATAGGGTGCCACTGGAAAATACTGTTAGGGAAAGTTTCTGGGAAGTTTACGCTCTCATTAGTGGATAAATTATTGTTAATTAGTAATTGCTGCCAGACACGGAAAGATTTGATGAAACCAATGTGACATGAGGGGTCATGGGAAATAACAGGGAGGGGAACACGGAAGATGTCTTTCCATACACACAGTTCTAGCCTTCATAGTTGTAATTTGTGAAAAGGCACAAAGAAACTGGGAATGAAATAGGCATGAAACAACCTCTTTGAAATCTTTCCTTTCTTCAACAGGACTGAACATGGAACTCGAAGATATAGCAAAGATCAAGAGTAAGCTTATATCTTGTGTTGTTGAAAACCGTTGTTGAAAGAGGCTCAAAAAGTCAGCAACTATAAATCAAGCTCATGTAGCATTTCCATAGACCTTGCTTGTAATGCTGACATTCATGGAAGCTTAAGTTGTCTGGCTTGTTCCAGGAATTTTGTGAAGTGTTTAGTTAATTTTTTCTCAAGAAGAGAGATTTGGCAGATGAATGCATTGCTTCCTTCTTTGCTAGAAATTCCCTTGTTTTCTGATCTTGGAATTACATTAGTTGCATCATTCTGCTGGAACAACATGATGCTACCTGAAGTTAACAGCAAGAGCTGAGATGTCTCACGTTTACAAAGCATTTCTAAAACCAACTTTCCCTGTCTATAAAGAAGAGTTTAACATTTATCTTGTGACTTAAGCTTCATCTAGGAATTGAGATCATGGAAGTTCTTAGAGTTGAATATGAATATTTAAAGATGATACCTAGGAAATTGGTTTTGATCATTTTGATTTGTTTACAGACTGAAGAGAACAGCTGGGCTGCTGTCTTTGGTAACAGCCTTTGTAATAAAGTACGTTTGAAAAAGAGGCTTAGATATGTCCCAGAAGTTAGTTTCTGTGCACCCTGACTTTTTCCTCTCTTGATTCTCTTGAAGAAATTCTTCTTCAACTAGAAAGTGCTATTGATGCAGTGGAGCTGCCACTGAATGGTAATGGAGTCACCAAAGAGGGAAGGTAAATTTCTTCTCATTAATAAGTTTACATGTTAAAAGTACAGCAAATTCTAGACCCAGGTGGAGCTGGGTGAGCTGTTGGGCTCTAGCCCTATTCTAGTTTCTGGGAATAGTATTTATTGACAGCTTTGGGTTTCCTTAAATCCCCTGTCCGTGGTAATCATTATTTCTGGTGGAACTTACTGGTGTTTCAAGAGTGGATATGTGTGTATGCCTTGGGTATTCTGTGCTGGAAAGAAGCTCCTTTCAATTTTGTGTTGTGATTTAGGCACAGGTACCAATGCTGCAGTGAGCTGTTTGAGGCACCTCAGAGCTCTGCAAGTCTATTCCTACCTAAACTAATGCCTGCTGTACATTGTAAAAATAATCACGGAAATTGCATGCAAATCTGCTTCTAAATTAATATGTTGGAGAGAAATCATGGAAAATGGGAGTGATGTAATCAATGTGCTTTCTGTCATGTCAATATTATCCGCTCTATTTATAAGCAAACGCTTAATTCCTGTAAAATTTTCTTTCTCATGGAGACAGAAACATGTTTTACTGCTTGATGGTGAAATTGTTGTTATGAAAGAGTAACAGTAATTGTGTCCATGTGATTCTCTACAGTGTTTACCCATTTCTGCTTTTTCTTTGTAAATTGCAGCTACATCTTTGATCTGTTTGCAGAGGCTCAAATAACATTCCAGACCAAATCCTCCCTCTTGGAGTCACTGGAGCAAATTTTACAGTATCTTTCAGGCCGTAAGTGTATAAACTTGTTAGTTGTTTCACTCAGGCTTTTCTCTTTAGTGCAGGTGATTGGAAGTTTGCATTGTTAAGGGGGAGGAGGAGAAAGGCTTCTTTGTTTAGAATTAAATTGTAAAGCTTTTAAAAACTAAAATCTGACTGTGAGGACCTGTGTCTTTTTATTAAGACTTGCAGCAGGGTCCTCTGCGTGGAAACATGTTTTTTGTCTGTTCATGCAACAGAACTAATTTTAAGAACCACTTTGTGTCAAAACCTGGGTGTGTGCCAGCATGTGCATGTGCATCCATAGAGGAATTTTGCACAGACACTATTTTTCTGCAAAACCAGGTGCATTGTGGGGTGAAGCTTGTTGACATTTTGCTGATGGCCCCTTTAGTGTTTCAAGTTCTTCCCTGGTAATGGAGTCAAGAAATATAAATGTTGGGAATCACATAATGTGGGGTTTTTTTCCTTCATTTAACAAGCTTCTGTTCTGCTGTCTGCCAGCATCTTGTTCTTAGTTTGCCCTTCTGGAAAGAAAATTCTCCAACTTCTACATGTGTTAAGAAAATGATTTACTTCTTACTAGCAGACTCTTCAGAAAAAAACATTGAAGGGACTAGAATAGACTGTTAGTTCTGCAAGTGCATCCTAGGACAACACATCTATCCTTCCTTTTTCTTTCCCCAGCATCTTTGTCCTTTTAGGCTGTTTGACAGGTGCATCTGTTGATCATTTCTGCTCTCAAATCCCCACCATCCATGTATTTCATATGTTCCTTTAGCTGCTCCTCTAATCACCGTTTCAAGCACACTAGAGCTGATTGGGAAGGGCTATTTATAGCTGGAGCAAAGGTTTTTAGCAAGGTTTTTTTAGCAAAGGTTAATTTTCTCTCTGCATAATGGACTAGTCAGTTTTCTGTTCTTTTTTCCGTGACACTAATATAAGATACATGAGCTTTTGAAAAAAGTAACCAAACTTTAAATGTGTTTATCTTGGTTTTGATTAGCTCCTATCCAATTTTTAGTCTAGAGGAACCTTAAGAAGTTTATGTAATTTTCTCAGATGACAGTTTCCCAGTGTGTTACAATTTTCCTGGCTTGCAATGCCAGTTTTATGTTTCTCCTTGCATCTTGAATAATGATGAAAAACTTGAAATCATTTGTTTGTTCAGATAATAGTTTCAAGGCTTTGTATTCAGCATGTTGAGCTGCTCGGATAAGATGTGGATATATACAAGAGGATGTATATTTGTGTTGTAAGAATTGTGTGTTTCTGTCTCCAGGTACTGGGATATTTATCAATACATCTGGATTGCATAAACTCTCAGATATTATCCAGGTAAATAATTAATGTGTCCTCTATAAACATCTGAAGGACAGAAGAGTTGGTTTAAAAGGTGTAGAAAGGCATTGGATCCATTTTATTTTTGATGGTGTGTACACTTGTGCAGTGGTACAAGTCTATAGTTTCTGAGGAAAAAGCTGCTGCCTGATGGGATGGTCTAATGTGATTTTTGCACAGGTTGTTCTTTTGCGTTTCTGGTCTCTCCTTTTGGAGATGCTGGATTTAAACTAGCCTGGATTTAGCCTCCACCAGGTGGAGCTGGGTTATTGAGCTCTTTGCTTTTTAGCAGCAGCATTTCAGAATACGAGACCTTCTCATGAAATAACAGGACAGGCTAAGGATAAAAAGCAAACAAAAGATAATTTAACTGCATTTTTTTTTTCATTTAATTATTAACTTAAGAGATCACTAAAACAAAAGTCTTTTCAGTGCTGCAGGAACCGAATGTGACACCTGTGGGTACCCACATAATGCTTTCAGTCCTCTCCCCGGTGTGCACTTCCAAAACTTTGATTATGAAAATTCTGAGCCCCATAAAATTAGGGGGTACAGTGGGCCAGTGTCCTGTCCAACATATGTGTCCAGAGGGGCACCAGAGAATAACACCCCGTTTAAAACTAAAAATGAAGAAATGTATTCAAAGTTTGCAAACCTGCATAATAAAGACAAGCTACCTGTCTGTGTTTTAAATGATCCTGGTAGATTTGCAATACTGAACTCTGAATGGATGGATGTTTGTGAGGGTGTATTTACAGTGGCATACACAGGATTTAATTTTTTTATGAGCGGTTAAACAAAACCTTTATGTATGTTCTGATACAGTAATAGCAATTTGTGTATGCTGGTACCAAAATGATTTATACTGGGTGGTGATGTCACTGTTCTGAGGGCAAGGTGAGGTTGTGCCTAATTTAAATTGGTTTCTCAGAGATTCAAAGCTGAGAGATGAGAAAATTCAGAAGTAGGAGCGAGGTCTCCTGATCCCAGTGACCTGTGCTACAGGCCTGGGGATAATTGTCTGGGTGTGCTCTTTTAAGCTGTGGATAGTGACTTGAATTTGGAAGAGAAAACTCAGATCCCTTTTCTGCTGCTGAGGACATGCACATGGACAGTCACTGCAAATGATCTGCCATGGGATAATTTGCTATCCTGAGATATTTTAAAGTAGGACCAGGACAGAGTTTTCGTTGGTTAAACACAGTGCTTGCTGCTTGCAGAGCCTTGTCTTTGAGTCTTAATTTATCATCAACTTGTTTCAATTAGTAGTCAATTTTTTTCTTCCTTTTTGAAGAACACTTACCAAAATCACCATATCTTTGGCTATTTTTCAGAAGTAAATATTTCCAGGAATTGTATTTTTTTCCCCCGCTGGTGGAGAACATCTTTCTTGTTTCAAATAGCTGATATTATTATGAGTGTGGGTAATTCCTTTTAAATGTCTGAAGAAATTTTGTTTAGAAAAATTAACAGGGGTTATAAATATTTGAGAACAACAGCTGTTGTCATTGAAGTTGAACTGGAATGTCATATGTTTGAAACAGCATCATCTGTTGTCCTGAGACATCACATATGGGAAAGGAGAAAAAGCATAACTGTTGATAGAAACTTTTAATTTAATGGACAGCTAGATATGATTACAACTTGATTGTTTTTCTAAGCAGAGTGTTATTAGGGTTGAGTATCACGGATGACATTTTGGTCTGAAGGAATGGAAAGAGTTCTTTTATGCTCAGTTGTGACTGTGATCTTGTGAATGTGTTCGTTTATCCACAGCTAGAGTCATGAACAGTGTGAATGATAATACTGTCATCTGTATAGTTTGAATATATTTAGATATTGGCTTGTATTTTTAGAACAATGAGAGAACCATGTGGTTAGCAGGAGTCGCCTATGAAAATCTTATTTATTCAAGAATCTCTGTCTTATTAAATAACAGGAGCAAGGAGATATATTTAAGGTTATCACAGCAGTAACTTTTGTGAAGGTACTTCTCAGTGCAAAAAACACATTTGGGAATTTGCTGGAAGCAAAAATCAAAAATATATATGTATAAAAAGTAGTGTGGCCAGCAGGACCAGGGAGGTGATTGTTCCTCTGTGCTGGGCAATGGTGAGGCCTCACTTCAAGTGTTGTGTCCAGTTCTGGGCCTCCTTGTGGCAAGAAGGATATTGAAGACCTGGAGGTCCAGAAGAGGGAACAAAGCTGGGGAAGAGTCTGGAGCAGCTGAGGGAGCTGGGGAGGCTCAGCCTGGAGAGAAGGAGGCTCAGGGGGGACGTTCTCGCTCTCTGCAACTCCCTGACAGGAGGGGGGAGCTGGGGGGGGGTCGGGCTCTGCTCCCAGGGAACAAGGGACAGGACAAAAGGAAACAGCCTTAAGCTGTGCCAGGGGAGGCTCAGGTCGGACATCAGGAAAAATAGAGGAATTTTTTCACAGAAGGGGCAGTCATGCATTGGAACAGAGTGCCCAGGGAGGTGGTGGAATCACCATCCCTGGAGGTGTTCAAGGGAAGGCTGGATGTGGCACTCGGTGCTCTGGTCTGGTTGGTGCTGTGGGGGTCGGTCACAGGTTTCTCTCGATGGTCTTGGAGGTGTTTCCCAACCTCAATGATTCTGTGATTCTGTTCACCTCCATTTTGCAGACAGTGTTCAACATCGATCCCCCAGAAGGCAGCACAACAGGTTTCCTTCCACATCAGGCAATATCTAAATATTACAAGGTATGAGATTTTTTGTGTGCTGCGTTTTTCCTCTCTGCTATTTCATCCCTGTGCTTAGTGTATCCAAGATTCAGAAGGATGTGGACAGTGTAGCAAATTATGATATTAATTACAGGAAGGGAAAAAAAAACCCAGAACAAAAAAACCCCACCAAAGGAACTATATTTAGTTTAGATTCTGAGAAGGGAGCTACACAGCAATTTTTGAAGAAACTAAAATGAAATTAGGAAAGTGCAGCAAATGTGAATTTCTGAAAACTTTGATACTGCATATTATGCAAGAATTGTTGTGTTCTTCCAGTAATCTGTTCTTTTTAGTTTAGCCCATTGCCAAGCAAGTTCAACAGAACCACTGAACCTCCTTCCCCGAAGTCGTTACAGTTTATTCAGAGTTTAGAACTTATGGGCTGTGCTGCTGTAATGAATGTAAGGAACAGATCTTTTTCTAGATATCATATTAAGTTTAAAACTTGATGCTATTTTGGTTGCCAAATGAAGCAAGTCCAGAATAGTATTTTATTTCTAGCCTGCATGTTTTATGCTGGTGGAAATACCCAAGTAATGAGGTTCTGTGTTTCTGCTCAAAGCCACTCTCATAATCTGACTCAGAATGACTGGTTGAATGAACTTTTTTGGTTCTTAGAAAGTTATGAAACACCGGAAGCAAAACAGGAAAGAGGAAATAATACAGCCTTAGTAACAGTGTAAGAGTGACACTAATTACGTTAATTACTCTTAAGATGGGCTAGCTTTTTTGAAGGATGAACTGCAAGTTCCTTTCTGTAGCCATTTCTAGAAATGTTTTTTATTTTCTTTCAGGTACATATTCATGTGGATAACAGTAATCAGAAAAAGAAACAAAGGACAGATCTCTGGAATTCATCATCTTCAACAAAACAAGGTACAGGACTGATCTTGGGGAGGTTCACGCAAAAGCTGAATTGAAAACTCCTTAACTGCTCCTTTCTGGTGCAAATAAAAGAAAACAAGCACAGCTCCATTGTGGATATGATAAGCTGGGGAGGTGCTTTTTACTTTTATAATTACTTCTAAAGGTGAGGTGACATAAACCATCTCAGTGTAAAAATTCCTTGGTGCTTTGTGAACTGCTGGAGTTCTTCTTGGGCAATTATTCCAGTGAAAGAAAATAATCTCCATGATGGAATGGTTGGTTGTATTGGTGTAGAGAAAATCTTCAGAGCAACCCAAGAATGGGAAACCCTCCTTCAGGCTTGATTCTGAGGTTTATGACATGTTCTGTTCTCCTCATACCAGCTGTATTTCTCTGCATAACTGTTGTGTTAAACACAAAATTAGTGTTGAATAAGGCCTGTAACCACATTTTTTACAAGAAGGAGACTCATGTATAGCTACGATGCTGAAAAAGTGTGCCAAAGGTATCAAAAGAGTAAACTCCATGAATGTTCTCTGTTGAAATGACTCATTGTGGAGGTGTTACAATTGGTTGGCTCATTCTCAAGCTCTGCAGTGATTTAACAGGGATCTTGGCCAGATCATGTGAATTCTTTGCCATAAAATGCCATGCCTTGAGGCACTGTTGCCTTCTCTGGGAAGACCTACTTTGAGCAACTTCCTAAGTTCTTCAGAGCGTGTTGTCAGTTCTTGATAGTTTCAGCCTTAACTATACTTTTCAGTCCTTGTTCAGTTGAGCTTTCTCCCTCTCCTTGTCTCTCTCTTCCCACCTGTTTTGTTCCTTATGCTCTGCATAACTTGGGATCTGGAACAACCTCAATATAGCCATGCTTCAAAACAACATATTTAGAAGAAAAGAAACTTGGCTTCTGAATCAAAGTTTATCCTAAGCCTCCTGTAAAGCTGCACCGAGCTTGGCTTTGTTGGACTTCAGCATTTATTTTTAATATTTTTTTTAATAATTAGATGGAAAACAAAAGGTTTTCTGATTGGAGAAGAGAAATATAGATCCCTTTACCTGTGCTTTCTTAACAGAACATTCTCCAAGGATCTTTGTACATACTTTGCCTCGTAACTATCAACTTAGTTAAGTGCTCAGTAATATGTGTTTCACAGAAGTCCTTTAAGGACAAAAGTAACGGTTTTCAAAGAATGAATTTCCACAAATTTAATGGTTTTGCACGTAACATCCCCTTAAATGTTTCCACAAATTTAGTACTGTTTGGTTATCTGCAGATGTTTTCCTGAGATGTTGCTCAATTGGAGTTTAAAGTTACGGGAATAAATCTAAGAAGATTTAGTTAAAGATCTGTTCAGGAAAAGGCTACTGCAGACACTTTGAGTTTATTGCATAATTTGGAGGATTTGTACGCAAAAATACAAAGCAGTCAGAGAATTCTGTGACTTAGTAGATGCATTCTGATATATTTGCTTTTCAAATAAAAACCGTATTTACAAGTACATGTGCAACAGACCCGAGCTTGTTGAGACTTGTGCTATGTGCAAGCCTAGCAGAGGCCAGACATGACTGATCAAGTCTCTGGTTTCCTGTGGTGATATAGTTAATGGTATAGAAATAGTTTAAGCATTTAAGAATAGCTGTTTTCCAATGATTTGGTGGAAATTATCCGCTCAAGCATCGTTCTCTACAAACTGCAATTGGTGAGGAAAAGGGGCATAGCTTGGGATGGCTGATGAGATTCCTGCCCGAGCCATCTATGCACAGATGCTGCCTTATGTCACCAATATTGAACTGTTGCAGTTTTACATTAAGATAAAACACCCTTACTCTTGGTTTGCTCTAAATCACCGTGTTGCAAAGTGTTAGCAAGCCATTTCTCCTTGGATTTAGCTGTCCTTGTGCCAGGAGTGGAAAGAGCTGCTGCAGGGATCTGCTTTGTGTGACACCCAACACTTCCTTCTGGCGAATGGGACCTTTAAAATGGATTTAATATTGTTAAACTTGAAGACATAACTGCAGCACAGCTGACTAAAAATGTACTGCAATCCCAAGCTCTCCAGGAACTGGATAACTGGTGTCTGGCAGCCATCATGCTGAGTTAGAGAAATTTGTTTCCAGCTGAGCACTGATGAGGGAAATGTGAGTGGTTGGTGTCTTCTTCCAGGCCATCCCATATTGGCCCAGTTTGCTTTTATGCTGGAATTTCTTGGGCTCCTGACGTGAGTTTGCTCTTGTCTTTGGATACTTTTTGGCCTGTCCACATACAGATCCAAGCTGATTTGCACCAATTCTTAGTGTGATTTAAAGAGATACAAAACTCGCTAAATTTTGGAATGTGATTTTTCTAGAATTTGGGCATTGTCTGTATGGGTTTGCCCAAATGAGATGGAAGGGCAAAACTTTAGCTAAGAATAGATGTTCTCTTGTAATTCAAAGCAGTAAGTGACTCACTGGACAGATATTGATGGGGATTTCCTGAAAATGTCAACTTTTTTTTTTGGAAATACAGGCTTGGAGTGAAGTGTGTAAATTTAAAAGACATGCACAGATACTTGGATGTAGGTATTTATTTTTTTTTCCACTGAAACTAATCATACAGAATGGAATCAGAAACAAAAACTCATGTTTTATTTGGCTGCTCTTGTTCCTGACCTAGATGTTTGTTTCCTTCCCCTGTTCCCGTGTCTCTGAGAAGCTGGTGCGAAGTTTTCAGCAAGGCCAACAGTGGTACAACTCTTAAGCTGACCAGTGATATAAATGATTGGTGTGATTCATCTGTGTTTCTTTATATTCTTTCTGTTGATAACTTACAGTATGCCAGATTTCCAGTGTCACACTTACTGCATATCCACATCCCACAGAAGATTTGAGCTGAAAGGTTTGGCAGTCGCCTGTGGGGAAAGTGGAAAGTTTAGATGGAAGGTTTATAGCCATTGGAAACTCCTCATGGAGAAAGGGTTCTTTTTTCCAAGCAAGTGAAGGGTTGGAGATCTTTTCTTGTATTAGTATATTATGAGGGAGCAATGACCTTTTAATGAATAGTAATTAAATCTGAGAAGGACCAAAGCAGAACATACCATAGATCTGGAATTTTACCTTCAAATGCTGCCCGTTTTACTTTCAGAAGTTCATGTGCAATGTGCCATATGCTAATTTTTCCACGTAGACTTGCTTCCTAATGTTTTCTCTTTGTTTGATACAGGAAAGACTTTAAGCTATTGGTGTTTCAGCCCTGGCTACAGCATGCACGAGCTCGTTCGACAGGGAGTCAGGACAATTATCCTCACAAGTGGGACTCTCTCCCCCCTCTCATCATTTACAATGGAAATGCAGATGTGAGTACCTAGATGTGGGAACAGTGCCATTCCTGAAAGTGCAAATCTGCTCTCGTGATTTTAGGGTTTATTTCAGGGTTTTTGAGTGTTTTTCCAGAAAAGCTGTGGATGCCCCATCCCTGGAAGTGTCCACAGCCAGATTGGACGGGGCTTGGAGCAACCTGGGGAAGGTGTCCCTGCCCATGGGAGGGGCTTGGAACGAGATGAGCTTTGAGGTCCCTTCCAACCCAAAACAGTCTGTGGTTCTGGAACTGGTAGCCTGTAGGGAATCACACAATGAGTATGACTGGGATCTTCCCTTTGTGTTTCTTTAGCCCTTTTTCTGTTTGCTTGGAGAATCCTCATGTTATCGATAAACACCAGCTCTGGGTTGGGATCATTCCAAAAGGACCTGATGGAACTGTGCTTACTTCCACCTATGAAAGAAGGTAATGAACTTCCATGTGGAATTCTGCTTTGAAATTTTGGGTTCTAGCATTTTGGGTTCTGCTTACAGGAGGATGCTAGTGAAGTAAGGGGGTCTCTCTAGTGCTTTTCTTGGATAAGCACTGTGCTGAATAACAACACCCTTTAACTGCTACTACTGAAAATTTAGAATTTAGAACTTTAGGTCTGGAATGGGTCAGATGTCGAGGCACTGATAGTCCTTATTGACCCTGGCCAACCTCAGCTTGGACCTTCACCCACAACCCTGTCTCTTACAGAGCAGTCACCCTCACAGACATGGAACTCCATCCTAAATTTCTTAGCTGAAGACTTAATTGACTGAAACATGTTTGCCACAACTATTTTTATATTTAAAGCTTTTTACCATAACTAGTCTCTCTTTCAGCTTTGTGTTGCCTTCTTAAGGAAAATATATCCAAATGTTTGTCAAGCTTTTGTTCATAGTTTTTCTTACTTTTCTCTGGCCTTCCATCATTTTGCCTCTGTCTTTGTGCTGTTCAGAGCAGACAGTGCTTCTGCTGCTGGCAGAGAAGGCCAGATGTTCCACAGAACTGGAAGGGGACTCAACATCTGTAATGGATCTTTACAGAGAAGCTGTAGTCTGAAAAAACCTCAGGCTACATTTGTCATCTTCAGTTTAATGTGCCATTTCAGTTTTTTTTTGTTGAAGATATTGTCTTTTAAAAAGGGAAGGTTGAGGATTCCACACCCCCCCAAGGGCTAGAACAAGGCTTTTTTTGGAAGAAGGGAATTCACAGAGTTCACTGTGTTTTGGCAACATCTGTATGGTGATACTGGTGTTTGTAGGTCTATAAAAACATCTATGTTAGGTTTTTCCCCTGCATGTATAATTTTTCTGGGAAAGCAGTACACAGAACTACAGGGCGGCAAAAGAAACCTAAAGACATGAGAGAACAGGTGAGTTTTCAGTCAGGGCTGGAAGAACATAAATATGGCTCATTGGAGAGCAGGGCTTTTCAGTTGAAGATGAAGGGATTTATTATGAGTAAATAATAACCACAGTAACCAAATTCACCCTTTTTGCCCTGTAGCAACCACACCTAGTTGATCAACAATTATTTTAAATAGTTTTAACATTAGCAGGCTTGGCAGCATTGTAGACTTCTCTGGCAGAACTCTCACTTTTATGTTGTTAGTATTAATCATAAAACTCATATGGCTTCCCGTTTCTATTTGTGCATTTTGAAAGTATTGAAGTTTAGATGATCTGTGCTTAGTAATAGGAATATTTCATAGTATTAGTAAAGTGTAGTCAAGGTATTACTAATTTTTGTCCTCGGTACGGGTACCTGCCACAGGAAGGAGAACAATTGGGAGTCTGGATACGCTATTTTAGGTTTTAGATGATTATGATATTTAGATGTGTATTAAAAACATAGAAAAGGAACTACAGTGATGTTACTTGATTTTTCTTCTTTGTAGGTTTTCAGAGGATTATTTGTCTTCTTTGGGAAAAACAATTGGTAAGTGGAGTGTGTGGATTTCAGAAATGAGTTGATGACCACAGTTTTTAGAAATCTAAAAAGAGCAATACTAAAGAAGGTGCAATAACAGGAAGGTAAAAGATCACAGTGCAGATCTGAATGCTGTTTGGTTTTGTTTACTTTTGTTTGCTCAGGCAGCTGGCTGCTGTGATAGCACACAAAAATGAGTTTGAGTCCCTGGCTTAATGTTTCCAAGTCAGGAGTAAATTTTTTTTGTCAGGAGTTTGTGTTTGGGTCAAAAATGTGATTCCTAAACACAGAAGGTGACAGAAACTAGAAAATTAGAGGTGATGCAGCCAAGGGCCATTTGCAGAGCAATTAAGGATCACATGAAATTAGTGCAATTTCTTGTCTTGTTTCTGTTGTTTTTCCTCTGCAGTCTGGGTTCTCCATCCCAGGATGAAAAAGTCCTCAGCTACACACTTGTTTGTCTCGTTGCAGGTAACATTGTGCGAGTTGTACCACATGGGCTGTTGGTGTTCTTCCCATCATATCCTGTCATGGATAAGAGCCTGGAATACTGGAGAGTATGTTTATTGCTCTGCCTTTATTGGGTGGTTTGGTTACACACACTGGACAGTTTGTAGTTATGCTATTTAACCATGGTAATTAAAAACCTTCTAGTGGAAGGTTCCATACTCGTGGCAGGGGGTTGGAACTTAGATGATCTTAAATATCCCTTCCACTCCAAGCCATTCTGGGATTGTATGAAAAATCCTTTGCTAATAACTAAGTTATAAAATCTGGTCAGGCTTCTTTTATTTTGATCACAGTACGCTGGAGTGCAGTGGTGTAGAATCCAAACCCAAAAGAATCCTAATATACAATCTCATCTGATCTCACACTTTATTTAATTTCACCAGACTTCTCTTTATTAAACCTCCCAAATTAGAATTGTTCTGAGTGTTTCAATCCCAATATGAGCATTTCACTTTTAATTGTAACCATTGCAACTGTAACTTTTGTGAATTCTATGCCCATAACTTGAGTGTCCTTGGTAAGACTTGCTAGACCAGGTAAATGCTCCTTTTTGAAAGTGGATGCAGGGGCAGAGTTGTTGTGCTGTGGGATCTGGGAGATGAGTGTTGGAACTCACCCACCTGCCTAATATCTGAGGTGCCCCAACTGCAAGGAATCACTGTTGGTGCTGTTAGGATTGCTTGTTTCTGCTTCCATCTCTTCCTGTGTTTGGCAAGAGTGAAACAGGCTGTGGTGGGGAAGCAGTGACCACTTCTGAGCATTTCTGTTCTCGTGGGTACTTCTGGTATGTGCTCACTTTGACGTGACATTTCTGATCTGTTCCTTGTCTGTTTAACAGGAGCATGATTTTGCTAAAAGAATAGAAGAAGTGAAGCCAATGTTTGTGGAACCCAGGAGCAAAGGAAGCTTTTCAGAGGTTGATTATTTGCATTACATACCTCTATCATCTTCAGAAACTGTATTTATGTTGAAATACCTCCTCTAAGATGTGTTTAGGTGTGAAACACCCAAATTTTTATCCCAGGATGAAATTAAAACTCTGAACTCTTCTCTGAAGTGTAATTCTTCTGTGCATCCTTCCCGTCCTCTCTTGGATGGTTGTGCAGGGTACAGTCTTCATTTAAATCCGGTGATGTAACAGCAGCTAAAATACACGTGTGCTGAGTAATCGAGCTGCTAGAAAGCTGTCACTTGAGTAGTCAGCATTTGTTAATGTTCTGCAGGACTTTTCCTCCCAGCTCATCATGCTTTCCCAGCGCTGAAGAATTGTGCAGTGTCATCTGTTTATTTATAGCCCTTCTGTTTGCTTCTTAGAGTAAATAATATCCGTGAGCTGCTTTCCTGGTTTGCCAATTTTACTTAAGGATCTGCAGAAACACAAGACAGTCCGCGTTTTACCTCCTTATCAGAAGTATCTGACATTAATCTTTTATGCTTACCCAGATGTGTTCTAGATTTCACAGTGGTGTAAAGGTTTTGCTAAGAAAATGGCTCCTCACATTTGCAATTAGTTGAAAGCAAATACATTGTACTAAGCCAAATTAATCACGTTTGAGATCTTAGTGTACAAGTCAAATTTAGTTAGTACAGGATAATAACCTTCCTGCTCTTACTTAAACTTGTTTATATTTTAGGTGATTGATGCCTATTATGATAAAGTCATCTGTCCTAAGTCCAATGGAGCTGCATTTTTGGCAGTGTGTCGGGGGAAGGTAACTGGGAATTTGTTTCATCTGAGATAAGATTATAGAGTTGACAGAAAAAAACAACACTCTGGATTTCAGTACATTTCCGTTATTTGACTGTAATTATATGTGGGGATAAAACCAAGTACCCTGAAGCTTTTCCATAATTAGGTCACGTTTATATCTGCCTCGTTGCTGTTACTGTTAAAGGGACACATATTTGATGTCTTTAAAATGGATGAGTATCATAGTTATATTTCATGTTGGCTGCTCACCAAAAACTTAACACATTAGATGAGAATTGTTTTGGAGAATTGTAATTAAACATGTTAGAACAGCACTGCTGAAAACCAAAGGTATTCCTTAGCTTCAAAACACATTATCTTCATGTTCTCTGGACACATTTGGTGGCCCTTCCTTTACGTTTTCCAATGCTGATAAATTGACTTATGTTTATCAGTAGAAACATTTGCAAACTCAGAAATTACTCTTAGAGCCTTTTTGCTGCTGCTTACTGTGTAGCAAGAGAAGATCCAACTTGTTTTGAACCTTTGATCCCAGTCTCCAAAGAGGTTTTTGGATCAGTGAAGAAAAGACATAGCTTTCTCCAGTCTCATAGCTGAGATTGGAGAACTGATTCAGCTGCAAAACAAACTAACTTTTTTTCCCCTCTAATTATTTTTCAGTCTGTTTGATTCTCTGATTTTGTTAAGTGATTTGCCAACACAGTGAGCGTGTACAGGGCACGTGAGTGACAAATACTTGATGGGATGTCAGCAGCACAGCTGGTGGACATGGCACTATAGTCTGAATTCTGAGCAGATTTCTGGCAGGTTTCTGTTATTGCTTTGGAATGATTCTGTTCATTTTTACTGTCAGAGAAGGTTTGTTGTGTTCTTACCATGTCTTGTTAACAAGTCAGGGTATGGATGGTTTAAACATAGGTGTTGACTGACATTTAAGATGTTCTCAATACAGCTGTAGTGCTTATCTGGGAATAAGACAGGCATTAACAGTGTTGGCTGAGCTATGCTTTGTCAAGGTCTGCTGGAGGAAAAAAACAAGTTTAAAGTCTTGGTAATAAAAGCAAAAAATATAGTTGAAGCTATTCATAATGTATTCATAAACTACACTTGGCCAGGGAATTAATTGAATGGAGAAAAACAGCCAACAACTGCTGAATTGCTCTGAAATGTCACTTCAAACCCTGTTGATAATGGAAAATTCTGTCTCTTCAGGCCAGTGAAGGCTTGGACTTTGCAGATGCAAATGGACGAGGAGTCGTCATTACTGGGCTTCCATTTCCCCCTCGTATGGAGCCCAGAGTCATTTTGAAGATGCAGTTTCTGGATGAAATGAAGAGAAGTGGTGCAGGTGCACGGGTAAGACTGGGCAGCTTTTCCCTGGTGGCTGTTTGCAGGTTTGTGTTATCGTTTTTCCCTCTTGTCCCTGTGGGGTTTGGATTTTTTCTCCCAGCCCTATGGAAGCACGGATATCAAAAAGTCAGACAACCTTGGGAGTTTGTCACAAATGTGACTTGTTTTCAAATTCTGTCTCCAGTGGCACAGTCTCAAACAAATATAGGCTCAAAAAAAGGCTGTAATTAAAGTTTAAGTCAAAAATCTTTTTATGTGTTACCCATCTCTCTCTCTGAGAGATTTATTTCATCCAGAGAGAGCGTGAGCAGGAAGAATTGCCTGTGCTGGCTACTTTGGGGATTGTGGGTTAGGGGGTGTGGTAATGTGTATTGGGGTTTTTGTAGTTTGTTTTGGATTTGGTTTATTATTACTTCAGGCACGAAAATTAATGACGTTATAATTAAGTTTGTTCTGCAGCACAGTCATTCTTAAATAATATGGTGAGTCTGTTGTACTGCCAAGGCTGTCAGTGCACCTTACATGAAATAGCCCCTCAAGATGGACGTTGCTACTGGAGTTTTCTGTGCTCTATAATTCAGGTGTGATATTTGAGTCAACCTGTGTTTGGTTTTCTTCGGCTCTTCGAGATTTGTCAATACCTCTTGTCTAATGCCTCTTTTTTTTTTTTTTTTTTTTTTTTTTTTTTTTTTTTTTAGAAAAAAATAGTGACTGTACAGCATGGAGAAAACATTTTACCTGGTAAATAATATGAATTCTTCCTCCCACCTCTTGCAGTACCTGTCTGGGCGTGAGTGGTACAGTCAGCAAGCGTCCCGGGCTGTCAACCAGGCGATCGGCCGGGTCATCAGGCACCGCCAGGACTATGGTGCCATCTTCCTGTGTGACCAGAGGTAAACCTGGGCTCTAGGACACAAGCAAACACCATAGAATCCCAGAATGGTTTGGGTTGGAAGGGATCTCAAAGCTTATCTCATTCCAACCTGCTAGACCAAGTTGCTCCAAGGCCCATCCAGGCTGGTCTTGGACACTTCCAGGGGTGTGGCATCAGCGACATCAACAACTTCATATCCCAGCATGGGTATTTTGTGTACAAATGTGCTGATGTTGCTGTCTGGAGAAAGCTACAGTTCATAATAATTGAATTATTTAACGTAGCAATTTATATAAATATTGCACCACTTCAGGAAAGTAACCAGATTGTTATCTCCTGCCCCCCAAATATACAGTCTTGGAGCCGCAGAAGGAGATTAATGGTATTAATGGAAAATGAACTAATTTGTTGAATTCATGTTCCTAATACCTCTGGAAATTATGTGATAATAATTTATGGTTTTGCATTTCCTCCATCTTTCACTTGAGAAGGCAGTCACCAGCACTGCATTGTTTTGTGGAGGATGGGAATGAGGACAGATTATATTAGAGAAACAATTCTGTGTTTATCAGTATACTATAGTAATATTATACTGCATTAATATCCTTTCATAAAATGTTAATTAATATAATAGGTATATTATGGGTAATAAGAGTTTGATAGCCATCAATGCTGAGGCTCGACTGGGGACAGTCTGGGTTCAGTACTACTGTTCATGTTACCCAGTTACAGATTTTATGGACAAAAGATAGGAATTGCCTGATTGCCTGGTATGTGGTATCAACAAAGCCCTTTTCTCTTGAGTGAAGACATCACCCCATTATATTTACTGCACTGTTTCAAACTTCAGTTGTCTTGCTACTCCTCCCTTTTCCCTTTAGACACTGATCTAGAATTTGTTGATTTAATTTAGCCCAACCTGGCAAATAATTTTCTTGTTTTCCAATCGTACACAGGTTCACAACTGGTGATGTAAGAGGCAAACTGCCCTCGTGGGTCCGTCCTTACGTGAGTGTTTATGACAACTTTGGCCACGCAGTCAGAAGTGTCTCCCACTTCTTCCGCGTTGCTCAAGAAATTGTAAGTGTCTATAAAAAAACCCTCACAAAACACACAGCAGATTTCCTTAATAGTATTGGAGACTGGGAATCCTAAGCCAGGTCAGAAATGTGAGAGAATCACAGATGATGTCAGATTGGAAGGGACCCATAATAATTGTTGAGTCCAGCTTGTCACTCCTCACGGGACTTAACACAGAGTCACTTGTCACTTCTAAGCATTGGAAGATTTACAGGAAAGAAGATATGCCTCATCTTTCTCCAAGGGTGAGCTGGGACAGGATGTTGTTGTTGTGCTGGGCAACTCATTAGGTTAGATCACAAAAATAACTTCCTCTTCCAGTTCCTCCTGAATAAACATGGCCTCTATTGGGTGTTATGCAAATCCTGGAACCGATGTTGGCATCCAAAAGCTTTTTACCTCAGGGAGAAGGCATGTGTGTGGAATAACTGGTCATACCCTCACATTTAAATTGAAGCTGACTGGTATAAAGAGTAAGACAAACTATCAGTTGTTATTGCAGTTCATCACTAGGTCATCTTTACTAATACAGCTTCTCTCTTAGCATTAAGAAGGTAGTATTGTCTGTAATAGTTCCTTGATGCAAAAAGTAATATTGTAAAAAGACTTCCTAATTGACTGGAGGAAGTTACAGAAAGAAACAGGCTGGAAGCCAGAATGGAGAATTCTTTGTTCCCAAAACGGAGGTTAAGATTAAAATAAACACTTAAAATTTCACATACAGACTTGGATGAGTTCCTGGAAGACACTTTAGGCAAATACAAGTTGTTCAGACAAATAAGTTACAGATGGGTGATACTGAATGACTTGATCTTTTCTTATCATCAGTGAGAGTTTTGTGGTAAATGAGAACCCCAGTCTGATGTGCTTTGCCAGAAGAAGCTGCATTAGGAAGTGGTTGTTCTTTAGAAGGTCATGATCCTTTTTCTGGTACCAGCTCACTTAGTGCTGAGCCTGCTTATTGCACTTCATCTGTGTCACTTCCAAGCTGATCCTTTTCTTCAAAAGCCCATAAATCCTGGGTGTTTAACAATCATACTATCAAGGGTTATTTGGGGAAAAGGAGATGTCTTTGGGTTGTTGCTGAGATTTTTGATTGCAAAGGGAGCGGAGTAGAAAAATGGCTTTTGCCTGTTGTAACACTTTGCAAACTGCTTGCAGATGCCCCCACCCCTGCCCCAGTGCCCTCCTGGCCACGCTGGTTCCCTAAGTGACAACAGTTCAGCACCATCTACTTCATCTGAGCAGATCCCCTCCGTCAAAAAAGCGAAAAACTTGGACGACCATGTCCCCAGTTTGAAGAGGAAAAGGAAAGGTAGGTTTGTGTCCTCGCAGATACATCTTTTTGTTTTGAGCTGAACCGAGAAAAGGAGGATCAAGAGACTAGAAAATGAATTGGGAAAGAAAGCAAGGAGAGTTCAAAGACTGATGGAAACATCTGATCAGAAGGGACATAGTTAGGCAATAGAAAATGGAGGAAACCAGTTGTAATTACAGAGCAAAGAGGCAGATGGGGCCTGAAAAAGTGCCCCACAGAACAGGAATTTGGTGGAATATCACAGGTAGTTTTGAAAATGAGAACAGGAAGTTTCTGACTAATACTGACTTCAATATGTTCTTCTTCCATCCTGTTGTATAAATGACTCTTACTCAGTAATCTGGCTAAGAAAAGAAAAAAAAAGGACATTGGAACAAAACAGTGTTTTAAATTTTGTGGTTAGCTAATGCTGCAGGATAAAGCATTTCTCATGTCAGATATTTCAGCACTCTAGATTGCTTGCTGGTTTGGAACAGAACAATGCACTTGTGTTTAAAGCTCTGGTTTCAAAGCAGTTATGAGCAAGTGTGAGGGTGATTTGACATTAAGTTTAAGCCAGTGTTGACTGCTAATTGTTGTTGAAAGGGATTACTTTGGCTGCCACTTTTTTCCCCCCGTCAATTCCCAGCTGTGCAGTTTTGCTCCTTCCTTTGATTTGAGTCCATCTCTAGTGCAACTGCAGAGCGAGCAGATGAGCTTTGCTGAAGCAATTTACCTTCCATCCCCTTGACTGGTAGATCCAGCTCAAAGGATGGGCTGGAATGTGGGACTGGAGGTGAAGGGAAGAAGCTGCATTGCCTGTTTTGAAAGGAATTTTCAGTTGCTTTGCATCAACTGGAACGTCGAATGTGCCTGTAATCATAGTTTTGTCTGGAGTTTTTTGTACTGACTTTTCAATTTATATCACAATATACTCCCATTCTTCTCAAAATGGTGACTTTTCTTAGTGACTGGCTGTTGAAGTAATTTCACAAAGTAGTGGAAATACATTTTTTAAGAGAGTGACTTATAGAAGTATCAGAGTGATACTAATTTAACCCTACTTGCAGCTCTAAATCCTTATATTTAAAACCAAATATACCTGGATCCTGATTAGTGGAAATATGTATTCTTGCAACCTTGGTGACAGTGTCTTACAGGTACTGATACTGTGAGAACTGTAGGCTTTAAAAAAACTTGTTCTCTTTGAAAATAATGAATCATGTTTCATACCAATATCTCTTAGAAACCCAGTTTTGGGGAAATCCACAAAGCTGAAGTAATTAAAGCAGTAAGACTTTTACCCATTGATCCTAAGCTATTTTGAGGTTAAATAAGACCATCACTTCAGGTGAAACTTCAGGGAAAGTTTGAAAGCAACCTACCAGGTTGTGCTAACAAATGCTTGAGCAATTTTGGGCGTGATTTATGAAAGCAGTCTTCTTACGAAGTGATAAAATGCAAGTTTGCAAGATGTGGAAGATTATTTAATCCACCAGCACGTCTTTGTGGATTGCTTCGCAAGACTGGGAGGTATCACTCAGTCAAAGAAAATGCAAGAGATATAATGTGGAATGTTAATTTGTCATCTGTGTTATGCTTTTGATGCCAGTAAATGGAGAGGGAGCATCCAGCCTGTGTGTGGAATATGAACAAGAGTTTGTCTCGCCCAGAAGACGGTGTGTTGGGCTCCTGGATGCCCTGGAGCGCAGTGAGAAGAGCAGTGAAGATGCAGAGGAGGAACCTGACTTGCCAGGAGAGGAAAAGGTAGTGGCAATGGTGTGCAGAATACTTGTTATAAGTAAAAATCACAGGCTTTAAAGCAAAATGGGTTTAGCATGAAGAGTTCCAGCTCAACCCTCTTTCAAAAAACTCACTGTAATCAGCACTGATAACTGCAAGTTCTCATAATTAATTTAATCAAAGGGTTTCCTTGCCACGTTCAAGTAGGTGATCAACAGGTAGGTGCTTGTACTGTGCTCCAAGGCTGCTGACCAGGTGGATTCCTGGAAGTTAACCACGCTCTCTGGGAAGCAAAGAGCTCTCAGAGGAGAGGTTGTTAAATACACAGTTTGTCCTGGGTGGAATCTGTGTCAGCTCTTTGTGTGAGGCCAGATATTGAATTAAAAAAAGGGTGGGGGAGGGTTTATGAATTAGAAATTGCTCTTTGAGATTAAAATCTTTGATTTGCCTCAGAGAATGAATATTGCAGACTGGTGGAATATTTTATCTAAATCAAGAATCCACTATCGCATTAAGATCAACAAAGCTGCTTCTGTGCTGTTCATTTTCTTTCCTCTTAGATTGGTATTTTTAATGCATCAGTGGTTAGGCTGTATTCCTGCTTTCCCAAAATCCCTGTTTGCAGTTGTTGGAGGGGTGGCTCCCTTACCTGGCTGCCATCAGAGGAGTATTTTGGTGCTGGCTTGCAAACTAGCACGTGGACTTCAGGAATGCCTATTGTAGCATACCCAAGTAGTTTGCTTAGGAGAAGAATGCCTGCAGGAAAATGTGGAGGTGTAGGAGTATCTGGGGAATATTTGAGGAGGCCTAAGGGAGATGGAGATGTGTACAGAACAGAGGGAAGGTACCAAGGATAGCAAATATTTAACTTGTGTGCAGCCAAGTGGGAAATGGGCTCCACCACCCATGAGCCACCATGGCACAGACACCAAAACTTATTCTTTGGAAAGCCTGGCACGTTTCCAGGGAGTTGGTAACTCAGCTACAGTGCCTTCTTAACACAGCTGCACTGCTTTTGGCAGAGCTCAGCATTTCCTGGAGCTGATAGACCTGATGGCTTGGTAGTCACTCAGCTGGTGTCCTCTTTCTCTGTTTGGCATTACTGCTTCTCTGAGGTTTATGCAGAACTCTGGGGTCATCCTGTGCTGCTCCTAAACTGGTGACCTGAGTGTAGTCCTGAGACATGCAGGGCCTCTGAGGGAGCCAGCTTTCACTCTGAGTCCAGCCTGGAGCTGATTTACTCAGTGCTGGATTTGGACTGAGGATGGGGTTGGTGTGATTTCCTCTATTTCTTCACCGTCCAGCATAGTATCTGTGTTACCATTTTTTCTTTTATCAAGGTTATACTCCATCCTTGTTCCCTAAAAAATGGAAATTTAGCTGCTGTCATCCTGAAAGAATTTGCTTGCGGTGAAAAAGAATAAAAGTCTTTGTCATCTCAAAAAATCAAAATGCAATAAATAGTCTCTCAATCCATGTAAATAATGACTTGGCAGTTCCCCATAATCAGATTTCCTTGTGAGATATGTCTCATGGAAACTTGTCTTGGAAGCCTTATTTCTGCTGGATCCTGCTGTTCAAGGTGGTGCCTTTGCATAGCACAGGAGTAAAAGATGGTTTTGATAATTTTTCTGACTTACTGTGTGTATCATACATATTTGACTTGCTGCTTATATTCCAATTCTTCATTCCCTTTCATGATGCTTAAATAAAATATATCTAAATGTGCACTTAAATCGTGGTCAGATTTGTCTAGAATTGGGTGTCCTTGCAGTATTAGGAGTGTACTGAAGGTTGTATTTCTGGGTACAGCAACAGACTCCACAAATTGACTCATCTGAAATTATTGGCCAAAGGAGTTGTTTATTTTAGTGATGGTGTTTAGCTGCAGTTAGTTTAATTTGGCTCTGAAGCTTTGTGATCTGAATAGCCACGTTTGGAAGTCACAGTGGAATTTAGGGATGCTCTTATGTTTCACTGGTTCCTCTCACAAGTGAACTTAAATGAACTGATAGTCACATACTTGCCATGAAATTTTTATTGGGCGAGAGCAAAGGAGTAACTCATTCCACATTGCTGCTTTCTCAGCAGGTGTGGAGAGACCAGCTGGCAGTATGGGGCTGTCCTGAAGCTTCTTCTGTTCCTTGAGTGATTGTGTTTAAGGTGGTTGATACTGATCTGATATTGGAGCTTCTGCTTTTAAGCAATTCCAGTTCTCTTTCTTGAGAGCCATTCTGTGTTACTGGGAATGGGAGCTGCTGAAGAGCTCGTTCACCCACAAGTGTTTCTGCTACTGTCTCATCCTACCTGCCTGATATTTTCTATAACACTGCTTAGGCTTCCCTTCTCATTATCCCAAAAGCCTGATACATGTTTTCTTCACAAAGAGAAGGACTTCCAGGCAGGAAAGTGAAGGGGTATCTGAGCCATCGGTTACACACAGGTCTGTGTACGCTCCCAGACTGCCCTGGAATGGTCTGCTATGAGTCCAGTTTTGCTTGATCAGGAATCAAGACCAGCTTTGTCTTTAATTTCCTCTGTTTTGGTCTTTCTTTTTGACTTGTCCTGTAAATTATTACCTTCTGGAAACAGATATGTGCCCATGCTCTGTTGCAATAATTTAGGTTGACTTGTTTCACTTTGTCAAATGGTCTCTCAAACTGAGTTAACAAGCTTTACTGCTGGAAATATCTCAATTAAACAGACAATAACTGTGAAAAGCATTTTTTTTGTATGTTTCTTATTGTCTTTTTGTCTTCACAGGCACATCGTCTGTCTACACTTTCCCTTCAGTATGAGAAGAAGTTAACAGATGAGCAGAAAGGAGGAAGGAAGAAAATAAAGCTAGTCAGCAATACAGTATGTGTTTCCCTGTGTCGGTGCCATCCCTTTGATCTGTAGATTGCTTTAATTTGAATTGGAAATTTCCAGGCAGACAGATGACTGATGCCAAAACAAGCATGTTTTTTCTCCAAATTGTAAATACTTAACAGCGCACATCTGAAATCTATTTTGTGATCTTTCCCAAATCCAGACATCACAGACCAAATCAAGCACAGGTCCCAGTAGAGCTAATAGGTGAAAAGAATTGTTTTCTGGCATTGAATGCTTTGTGAACAGCTTCTCCCAGTGACCAGGTGTGGTGGGTGGTTTCATCTTTTCAGTAGAATGGAATACTTCAGCTGGGAGGAACCTACAATGATCAGCTGGTCCAGCTGCTGGTAGAGCCTCAAATGGTTTAACTGACCCGTTTTGGGTAAGGGATCACATCCAACCCCACCCTGAGGTGGGTCATCATTGTGTGTTAACTTTGCAGTTGTGCATTGTAGTTTTGCCCTGTCTCCAAACTCAGTTAACTCATTAGGCAGCTAATTGCCTAAGAGTTACTATAAATTCAGGAAAATTCCCTGGGTGACTGTGCACCAGTAGTTGTCCAAGGTGCTGTCCTAACTGGATGTTGCCTGTCTGTCAGTCTGTCATCTGTCAGTCACCTGGCAAACAAAACTGATCCTGAAGCCGATAATATCCAGGAGAAGGGAGAGAAGGAAGAGAACAGGTTCATGCAGAAGGTTGTGTTTGCAGTTTGTTGGTGTCTGATGTCATGATGAGTCAGCTCAGCCTCCAGGCTTGGAGTAAATATCATTTTATCAACCCTTCTCCTAAGAATATAATTGTGCAATGATTATTGGCTGCCTTCTCTAGGAATATTTCACTGAAGCAGAGAAGGTGAATAATACACGGATACAGGGGTGACTACCAAAACTACAACCTGTTAGGTGAAAGCATTCATAGTTTCGTGGTGAACATGGTGGTGGTGCTGGGTGAACGTTGGACTTGAGACATCTTAGAGATGGACATCTTAGAGATCTTTTCTGACCCTAATGATTCTGTGATTCCATGATACCAGCACGTTCAACGTGCTGTCAGAATTGTAAACATACCGTTTCTACCTGAATTCCTGTGAAAGTAACTCAAATCATTCTGTACTGAAATTCCTTCCTGCCCTCCCAGCAGGCCTTTAGGAAAGCTGAGCTACCAGAGCCAAAGAAGGCCCGAGCCACCTCGTACATCGGCACACTGAAGGAGACCCTGAGCCAGCAGAACTATGAGCTCTTCTCTAAGGCTCTGCAGCAGTACAAGAAGACAAATGACTTCCATACCATGTTATCCGAAATGAGCTCCCTCTTCATAGAGGATGAGAAAAAGCACATCTTGTTACGAGGTACATCTGGTGTATTTTGTGTACCCCTGGTGTATTTCTGTGACGTGACTTTTGTCTTTTAAGTAAACTTGGGTATTTCGGTAGTATTTTAGATTTGAAGTACAGATCAGTCAGGATGGTCATCCTGAACATTCATCACTTTATCTCCCCAGACCACACAGAAAATCTTCTCAGTGTAATTATCAATGTTAGCTTGCATGTTGACTTGAAGAAATTTACATTCCATGGAAGTTTGTGTTATTTGAGACTTTGTCTAAAAGTAGTGTAGCTTATTCCCTGTGACTTACGAGTTCAAGAGTGTGGCTGGGTGAGTTGGATACATGCATTCATAAGGATTCAGTGTTAAAGCAGTAAATAAATAGACAGAATATCTAGAGAAATTTTCTATTTAAATAATGGTAAGTATAAAGCAAAGGGTCTGGGCAAACATGAGTAGTTACTGGATTAGCTGGTATTTTCCTGACTTTTAACAACTGCACTGACAGGAACTGAACTCCCATCAACATTTCTTCTAGTTTAACAGTGTTTTCTGTGTGACTTCTCATTTCTCTCTCAGCTTGTGAAGAAATGGCCAGGTTTTTCTCTGACTTTTTTCATCTTCTGAAATAATAAAGGCCTAGTTATGGGTCTCGTAAAATGTGTGAGGTAAAGCCTAAAGTTAAGGAATGGGAAGCTCAGTATGAGCACTCAGTACTAAGAGTAACCACAACTGGTTTCCCAATTTGCTGATGATCTATATAGATAAGAAAATATTTGATAATCAAATCAAGGTCTGAGTCTAGTTTTCAAGAGTGTCAGGCACCTGAAACCTAAAGCTGATTTGATGTTTAGGCTTCTGATTGGCAAACACTCTGTAGTGAATAAGTAATGTGAGGTGTAAATTAACAGTCTATCAGTTATTTAAAGTATCAGCCTCGCAGATACTTGGACCTCATGGTTTGAGTCACATCATGTCCTATTTCACTGGGAGGTGTTCCTTCATATTTACAGTGAAAAAATGACAGTTTTTACCTACTGATAATAATTTTGCTCAGTGTTTGCATGGTAGCTGACCTTTGTGTAACTTATAAGTGTGCTTATTGTATAAATATTAGATAAGGGTATTTAGATTTTAATTAATTTAGCTGCACCTTTTTATCTTCTTATTGCCTAACTTTGAAGTCCCGCTGTTGTAGGTTTCTGTAGCATTTGTGGATTAATTTTTTTTCTTCTTCTTTTTTTTATTTTTTTCCTCCTTCTTCCCTCTCTCTAATGAAAGAATTTTACCAGTTTGTTCGACCTCAGCATAAAAAGCAGTTTGATGAAGCGTGCTGCAGCCTGACTGGAGTGGGCTGTGGCTACAAACCTGAGCACAGCCTCCTGCTGGAGGAGGGGGAGATCCTGGCCAAGAGAGCAGGTGAGAAGCTGGTTTCAGTTGTATTGTTTGAAGGATATTACCCAATCTTCGAGCAAGATGTGTCTAATACAGAAATGCAAGGATGGAAGGCAATTTAATTTAATCAGTGCTGAGCTAAGTCTCTGCTCTCCATGATCCTCTTGCCTTCCCCTGAGCATTAGTTACTGCAGAGTTAGTAATGATGCCAATTTATTTCAAAAGGTGATTTTACCGATCTATTTAAATCATTCATCTAGTCTGGGGATTTAAAAACCTTGTTTGTTCTTCTTTGCTGCCACGTAGTGCCACCAGAATTGTGAATAGGCAGTGATAGTGTCCTCACAAAGCTTGTGAAATCTTTGAAACCATGAAGCAATAAAGTTCTAAAAAAAGCAGGGTCTTGGCTCATCATCAGAGAAGTACCTCTGTGTGGAGTCCCAGAATGGTTTGGGTTGGAAGAGACCTTAAAGCTCATGCAGATCCACTCCCCAGCCATGGGCAGGGACACCTTCCACTAGACCAGGTTGCTCCAAGCCCTGTCCAACCTGACCTCGAACACTTGCAGTGATAGGGCAGCCACAGCTTCTCTGGGTTGTTCAGGTGTTTTCAGCATAGGATGGCATACTTTGAAATGCACCTTTCTTTGTTCGTTCTTCCCTAAATTCACTGTTAATGGACTGGTTTTATTTAGCAGAATCAAAACAGAGTCAGCAGAAAAGTGCATTCTCCAAGGCCTCACGTGCTCAGCTGAACCCTGGGCTCCACCTGAACCAGGGAGGATTCCACTTGGCAACACGACTGAATAGTGCAGGTACCCTTCATGTTTAATAAAGACACAGTCCCAAGGCAAGACCTGTTATGCTTTATTTCCCCTCTGACTGTCAGTTCTCCTAGTGGGAACCAATGTTCATTGTGCTCACCCAGCACAGTGGCTCACTCCCTGTAGGTAGAAGTGATGGTAATTCAGAATTTTCAGCAGAGATCACACAAAACAAAACACAAAAGCCAGTAAATTAAATCAAGGTGGATATGAAAGAAACCAGCTGAAGCCAGACTTTTGCACTGAGAGACTGAGCTGGGAAAAGGGTGAGTTGAGCACAAGTCTGCTGGGCTTCCTGTTTGTCCAGGGTCTGTGAAAGAGAGCCAGTTAAGTGATGTAGCTTTAGATTATGTCAGTCTGAATCCAGGTATGAAGACAAAACCGTTTCTGTTTTGTTCTGGGTGTAATGTGTGCATTCCTCCTGTGGACAGTCTGTTTTTTCTGCAGAAACAGAGAGTAGCAAACGTAATCTTTGTGTGCATCCCTCTAATGTCACTCTGCCCATTAGTTATCTTTGAACTCAAAGGCTCAGTTATTATTTGATTACTGGTCTTCCTGAGAAAAGCTGGGAATTTTTTGTATTTCTCACAAGGAAATGAGTAGGATCGTCGGACAACTTAGAAGTCTTTCTTTGAAGGGTAAAGAATAGTCAAAGATTAATCCCTTCTTTAAAAAAAAAAACAAACAAAAAAACCAGTTTCCTGGAAGGCTTTAAAAGCTTTTCTTGTGTGAAACCATGTTGTTCTTTTGATTTGTTTTCCCTTTTGTTTTGTATTTTAAGAATATTCAAATATTTTAAGAATATTTGAATAAAACAGAATATTTAGTAATTATTTTGTCCTGAAACCATTAGAGTGGTTTCACAGAAACTTGTTTCCACTAAAATTAATTAAGAAAATAATAGCAGTAAATGGATATGTTGTTTCTGTTGCTCACTTCTTCAGTAGAAAACACTCCCATGGAAGTGTCAGAAAGCTCTAGGATACTGATTATAAAATGCACACCCAGGTTTTTTCCTTTTCAGGAAATTGAATGAAACCCATGTTTTGAAACTTAAATATCTATCCTTCTCTAAAGAACTTTTAAAGATCTAAATGCCAAAAGATAAGGCAGGTTAATTAAATCAATTTCTTACCATATCCTTCATCCATATTTGCATGCCTGTAATATGCAAACCAGAACTTTTTCCTCTGACACATATCAGAAATTAAAGATTGAGATTTTGAGCAAAGTCCACTTGGAGTTCAGCAGGATGTTCCAAGCAGCTCCTACCTTCTGCTGTCCTCCTGCATTGCTCTTGTGCTCTCTTGAGTGTTATTTCAGATTAGATAGTCTTTTTGACATTATGTTTTCCTGCTGGAAAACACCTTGCCCCACCTTTTCTCCTTCTATTGTCAGGGGGTGAGTAATCTGTCCTTTAAAATTGCCCATATGTCAGGCCAGCAGAGTTGGCTGACTCATCTGTTTAAGATGCTTTTACTCCCTCAGTGGAGCACAAAGCCTGATTTATTGCTGACCTCCATGCACAGTCTTCTGTGTCACCTTTTGCTCATTCCTTAGCGACCTTCTGACACATTTCTCCATTTGAAAATATCAAAGAACTCCAGAAAATGCTAAAAGTGATCCCCAGAATTATTTTGCTCCATTCCCATTTCCAGGAGCAGATCTGGCTCTGCCAAGGCCATGCTGGAGGGAAGTGTGTGGCTGGGCAGGTGGGGTTGGCTTTCCCACTTTGAAGTAGTCCAGAAACCCCCTGTAGATGAAATGAGAAGTCAATGTGATAGAGTGACCCGTTTGTCTCTGTTTCTCTTCAGGCTCTTCTCACGTGTTCTTTGTCTCTCAGGGCGGAATGCCAGTGGAGCTCCAAGGAAAGAGACTGAAAGGCCTGCAGGCTCCAGGAAAGACCATCACCAGGCCCTCAGGACTGCCTATCTCAGGGATGTGCAAAGGGCTCTGGGCAAAAGCACTTACAGCCAGTTCCACAAAGCGTTGCTGGCTTACAAGAAGACGGATAATTATGACGCGATGATCTCGGTGATCGCAGCCCTCACCACGGAGAGACCACAGGACTTTCATCTCCTACAAAGTAAGGGATGGGGGTTTTTTTTAATCACTTTTATTTAGCTGGAAAGATGTTGGTGCTGTCATCTCGTGTGAGATCTCATCTTTCGGTTTAGCAACCCGGATAAATGGAGCAGCAGGAAAGATGCGTTCAATGTACGTCGTTCAGAGAGCAAAAAATGTCAAGGTTATAAAATGTTGTTTCTGTCTGTTCAGTTAGAAATTGTCCATTAAAAACATTTGACAAGACCTCAGTAATTCCAGTCCTAACCTTCAGCTCTGCTAACTTCAGTCAGATGCTTTCATGCCCATTTTTTCTCCTCAATTACTACTTCTTTAGGAAGAACAGTGCTGACTATTGAACCGACTCAATTTTGTTCTCATAGCCAAAATGATTGCTATACTGGTGCTAAGCTCTTAGGTCACTTCCAGGTATTGGGGTAAGCAATCACACTTTGGGGTCGTTATTCTTTTACAGAGCTTTACCTGGAAATAGTTACGGATCTGTGTCATACTTTTATTTTCTCTGAAGTGGCTTGTTTTATTTTCCTTTCATGGGTTTAATGATGGGAGAATTTAGGAAGCTGCAGGTTTTCGAAATTTGAAATTGGACTTTATTGTTTTAAGAAGAAGAGGAAGGGGGCTTGTGTGATGTGACACTTCAGTTCCACCTTCTCCCATATCTCTGGGGTGAACTCCTCTGCAGGAAATTACACATTTGGTGTATGCTAGGAAATGCTGATGGAGTTTTGTTTTGTTGTCTTTAGGAAATAACAGTAAGTATTAATTGACCTTGAATAGATATCACAGTCTGCAAATTGCCAGAAAATATCTTTTTTCTGGTGCATTAACTAGTTGGATGAGTCTTGGCACAGTGAAGAGTGGGAGGGAAATGAATTGTGGGGTTCTGAGTCATAACGTCCCCTTGAGCACTTGTCTTACTGAGCAAGTATTTTGACCTCAGAGGACTTTGTGATAGAATTGTCTGTGCTTGGCAATAAATTAAAACTGGGGTTTTACAGAATCTGTGTGTATGTGTTGTGAATCCTTGTCAACCAAACAGTAGCAAGAAATTTCCTTTCTGAGAGTCTTTCCGGATACTGTGTCAGGTTGAAGTGCTGGGTTGTAGAGAAAAGAAGAATTTCAAGGTAAGTGGGGTTGTTCTCCATACTGAGTACTCATCTGCCTTCTGGCAAGGAAAACCCCATAATCATAAAGACCACAAAAAAAATCAAGTGTTACACCAAGCTGAAGATACTCTGGGGAATATGGCTGATATTGTTCAGCTTCCAAAGAATTTCTCCACTCCAAAGAAAGGAGTCTTCCGTGGTTGGACGTTGATTTTCATATGCATTTGACTGTGCTTTCCTTTGGCCAGGGTTTTGCATGTTTGTGCGTCCTCACCACAAAGAGCAGTTCAAAGAGATGTGTGAGAGTTTGACTGGAATGGTCTGTGGTGAGGGGAAGAAGCAACTGCAGCAGCCAGTGCAAAGTGAAGGGAAACCCCTGAGCTTGGAGAGCTGGTGCACGAGAGGAAACAGCCACATACAAGGTTGGTAATGAACAATTGCCTGAAGTTTAGAATCTTATTTATTAATGATGACTAGTGCTCAACAGCCTTAGAATGGTTTGGGTTGGAAGGGACCTTAAAGCTCATATCTCATCTCATCTCATTCCACCCCCTGCCATGGGCAGGGACAGCTTCCACTAGACCAGGTTGCTCCAAGTCCCATCCAACCTCACCTTGAACACTTCCAGGGATGGAGCAGGCACAGCTTTTCTGGGCAACCTGTGCCAGGGCCTCACCACCCTCACAGGGAAGAATTTCTTCCTAATACCTAATCTAATCCTGCCCACTTTTAGTTTAAGGCCATTCCCCCTGTCCTATCACTCCACGCCCCTGTGAAAAGTCCATCTCATGCACTGGAGCCTCTGTGCCCAAGGCATGTAAAGGAGGATCAAATACACTGGTTGTGTCCAAACTGGGTTAAAAGTACCCCACCCAAACAGGTGTAAGATAAAAGGTAACATGAGATGAGGAAGTGCAAGGAAACAATGAAGAAATTAGTTACAGTTTTGCCATCTTTAGACTGTGAAGTGTATTAAGGGTGAAGGCAGAATTTTTGCCTCTAAATGGGGTGGGAGCAGGAGTGGATCCACTCTCTCTAGGAAGAATTTCCACAGAACTAAAATGGCAAAAAAGTAGTTATTCAAATTTCTTTCTCTTCTTACACAATGACAACTTAGCTGAATTTACTGCCGGTTGTGTTCTGCAGAGTCTGTGTGTTGTGTTCTGCATGACACAAGTTTGTATGCTGGTTTTCTCTTTTTATCCCCAGATGCTTCCACTTCTAAGATTGACGTGCCAGTGCAAATTCAGAGTAAGATTTCCTCGTTTCGCTTCAGCCAGAAAAATGAACTTGAGCTGCCAAAGACTGAAGTATCCAAAGGAACCGGTAACGTGAGGGCACCCACAGACTCTGGAGTGGTGCCCATCTTTCCCCTGGATATGGAACCAGAGTTTGGTAGGTATAGCTGAGGTTTGGGGATGCCATTCTCCAATACTTGGGAATAAAGATAAGTTATAGAAATGAGAATTACACTGATGGCCTGTGAGATGAGTGGTTCGTGCCTGTATTTGCTCAAGTGCGACGTGGTTTAGCGTGGTTTGCTGAGCAGCATTTGTACTCTCTGCACCTTCCACGTGCTCTCAAAGTGCTTTGTTGTCTTTATCACAATGGTGCAATAGTTTCCCAGGAATTTACAGAATTTTTTCTCTACAACTTCCTGGTAAAGGAAGGATGTAATCTGAGTTTCTAAGTGGGATCTGAAGCACCGGGAGACTGAGTGACGTCTTGTGAGAGAAATTACGTAACAGGGCCAGGTATTGCACTGTTAAGGTGGTTATGGTTGTTGTTTTCTGGACTGCACTGGAGACGTGGATGCATAAGAATTTCACAGGTGATTACTGGATTTTAGTCATTTCCTCTTTCTTTCTCCCCCTCTCCCCATCCTCCCCTGTGTTCTAGGAAGATTCTACTGCTCTCACTGCAAATCTGAGGATGATGTGCCCTTTAAATGTCCATTATGTGACTTCACTTGCTGCAAAACATGCTGGGAGCAGTTCTTAAAGGTTCTCTTGTTTACTGGTCTGATTTTTCCTGAAACTGCTGGAGAATTTTGTGCTTTTCATGAGAACCATGTGAACAAGCCTAGAAACAGAATTTTGCTGTTTACAGAAAGAACACCCAAATCCCGATGGAAGATTTATCCCCTGTTTCCTTATTTTCTGTGTTTTACGATGTGATTGGAAGCAGACCTCTGCTTTAAGCTGGGGATTTTACACATTTGCATCTTTCTGAGCTGCCTCCACGTGTTTTCCTGTCTAAAACTACAAAGGCAACAAGCTGTGGAGTCAGCTTGAAAAAAATGTGTCGGTTTTTTCATGTGTTAACCGTTATTTTAAATTTTTTTCTGAATTATTTTCACCATTTTCCCCATCAAAATCCTACTGTAAAGCACTATCATGAGATGAGGGAAATCAGGAACAGGCTTCCCAGGGAGGTGGTTGACTCACCATCCCTGAGGGGATTCAAGACGTGGCACCAAAGGACGTGGTTTAACGGTGGCTTTGGCAACGCTGGGTCAGGCATTGGACGTGACAATCTTAAAGGGTCTTTCCCAGGCAAATGATTCCATGAATCTGTGGTTCTAAATTCCCGCTCAAGTGTCTCCTGTGTCATCCTGTCTGTTGGTTTTCCCATCTGAGTAAGTTGGTGGTTGAAATTCTTTGGGCAAGAGGATGTAGCTGGTCCCGTGGTGCATGTGTTCGGGAGCATCTTACTCAACATTTGACGTGGCAGCCAGGGGTTAATAATCTGGGTTTGGAAGTCTGCTACAAGAGCTGAGGGGTTGCTGAACATTCAGTAGGCCTTGCTGATGAATATTTAATTTTTCCATTTTTGCCAAAGTGTAATGGGGATGAATATCTGACAGGCAGAATCCTCTGCTGCAGAAAGGGCCCCAACAAAGTGACAACAAGAATTTTACTAGTGTGTGTTTATATTCTCTGCTGCTTGAGATTTGAGTTGATTAAGGACAGAATGAGCTCCCTAGGGAGTTATTTTTAGCATTTTAGCATCCCACAGTGTAGTTATGTTGTCTCAGCCCATTAATTTTGACCTTATAAATATCTGGGGAAAACCTCATTCCTTTTACCAGTAAGATGGAACTTGTAGTTGTTATTTCATCAGTTTAAGAATCCACAGGATTAGAACTATTGTATATTGAGCAATTGTACCACCCTCTTCTGTGGTTCTCATCTTGAAATTGGTCATTTTGAGGTCTGGATTTCTTCTTAATCCTCAAGTGAATGGGTGTTTTCATAGCTCATAGATAAATGACAACCTGCTCAGCCTAATTTTTTTTAATGACTCTTTTATCTGACTGACATGTCCTAGACCAGAGATTAGAGTAGTTTGACCTACTAGATTAGATTGTGTTTCAGACTCGGGTACTTGAGAGCATCCAGAGGAGGCAGCCAAGGTGGGAAAGGACTGGAAGGCACCTTCTAGGAGGGATGGCCGAGGACTCTGGGCTTGTCTAGTTTGGAGAAAGGAGACTGAGAGATGAGCTCATGGATCTCTGCAGCTTCCCAAGGAGGGGACGTGGAGAGGGAGGTGCTGAGCTCTTCTCCCTGGGATCAGTGTCAGGATGCATGGGAATGGTTCAAAGCTCTATCAGGGAGATTCAGACTGGATATTAGGAAAGATTCTTTACCAAGAGGGTGATCAAACACTGGAAGAAGCTTCCTAGAGAGGTGGTCATTTCCCCAGTGCCCTTTATGGTTTAACTTCTGTTGGACCCTGCAGTGGTCAGGCAGTTGGACTAGGGGATCACTGTAGGTCCCTTCCAACTGGAAGTGTTCCTTCTCTTCTATCCAGATATCCAGTGCAAAGTCATGTTTGAGGAAACGAGTCATTCCCTGTGTGTCATTTATTATTAATGATTTCAATCTTTGCCACTTACCTGAATAATCTTACTTATGACATACCTTTTTGGCTGTCTGTGTAGAGGAGTCTTAAGTGGCTCATGATGTGATTCAAGTGTCATTTGGCTAATGAAAAGTCAAATAAGAGGGTCATAGAATGGTTAATGTTGGAAGAGACCTTTAAGATCAAGTTCAACCATCACCATTACTGTGTTCACCATTGAACCATGTCCTGGGGTGCCACATCCACATGACTTTTGAACATTGCCAGGGATGGTGACCCCATCACTTCCCCGGGCAGCCTGTTCCAGTGCTTTCCAACCCTTTCCACAGAGAAATTCTCCCTAATATCTAAACCTGTTGTAGATTAGGATATTACTTGGACTGATGCAGAAATGGTTCTCCCAGTGCTGAGTCAGAACTGTTCTCTGCTGATCATGGAGCTGAGAAGGAAGCACAGCCTCCTGGGAGAGCACAGGATTGCAAACAGGAAGACTATTCTGTGTTTCTCTGAAACCAGTCCCAGAGGAGCCACCTCCTAACACATCCATTCTTTGGGAGGTCAAACAGGCAATTGGCTCCATCCGTGACAGGGGTGTGTTTGGGACAGAGTTACCTTTACCAGCAGGAAATGAGCAACCACGTCTGAGCTCTGAGCTCCCATCAGATGGCATTAAGCTTTGTCAGCTCTGACTGGGCTGTGTTTGAAACTCCTTTTTGCTTTGCTAACAACTTACTCACTGTTTTTTCAGCTCAAAAGTCCCTTGGTGCGGATTGTCCCCCGAGGAAGTGACTAACAGCCTCATTCACAATGCAGGGTTTGCAAATTGTGATCTTTTCCAGTTTGTTGTTGTAGTGAAATACTGGTGGGGAGAGGCGGTGAATGGTTTTGGAAGCTTTTAGAAGCTTTTGGAGGAGCAGTCAGAATTCCCTGCAGCTGCAGGGGTATTAGGGGGATTAGTGCTGGAGCATGTTGGGTGATTCACTGTGCTGGGGAAACCTTGCAGAAACTGGGCCAGGGCACGCTGCTTTGGGGTGTAGCTTTTTCTCCAGAGCACTGTTGCTGCTTTCCAGTGTTTAAGTGCATCATTTATTCAAGCAGTTCTTCCAGAGAAAATGAGTTTTTCTCATTTAGACTATCTGCAATATAAGCCAATAATACCAAATTTCACAGTTATATTTTACACTTAAAACTGTCTTTGGCAAATCACTGTCTGCTGGGAGGTAAAGTGAGTTTTTCTCTCCCCATCCATTTATGGTATTTAAATTCATGTTTCTAGAACCAAAATCCTACTGCTAGAGCCTACCTTGCAGTCTGCACCCTTTCTTGCAATGACTTCACACTGACACGGCAGGGTTAGATTGGATATTAGGAAGAAATTCTTCCCTGGGGGGAGGCCCTGGCACAGGTTTCCCAGAGAAGCTGTGGCTGCCCTATCCCTGGAAGTGTTCAAAGCCAGGTTGGACAGGGCTTGGAGCAACCTCAGATAGTGGAAGATGTCCTTGCCCATGGCAGAGGGTTGGAACGAGATGGGCTTTAAGGTCCCTTCCAACCCAAACCATTCTGTGATTTTAATTATGAACTTGCACACTGCAGGGAAGCTTGTGCAGTGCCACTGATGTAGGTGACTATCATTTTAGCCTCCTGAGGTGGCAGTCTTCTCCCATAGAATAATTTTTTAAAAGACTTTTTATTTTTTTTACTGTCTCCCCTTTGAAGTAAGCAGAGCATTTTAGTTTTACCAGTAATTTGCAAGCTATGAAAAGAGCAGTTGGGATTCACGTGCAGGTCAAATGACTTTAAAATTGAAGATTAGGGAAGAAGCAAACTGAAACCTGAGTGGAGAAATGGTGCCTCACATGCCCTCATGTCTCCTGCTGAGAAAGGTGTGGGGTGCTATGAAGAAATAAATGTGCTTGGTTCCCCTACAAAGCTCTTGATCATGACCACGTGTGCCACCCATGTTCGGGTATGTCCAGGACACTCGTCATTCCCATCAGTGCAGGAGGAAGCAGGGATTCAGGGAACTCATGAGCCACTTGAGGGGACTTTACTCAAAAGTACAGCTGTACTTCACAGCAGCTCTTGCAGCTCTGCATTTCCTTGTTCCTGTATTTTTAGTCGTCCAGATGTGTCATAGCTGTAAATTAACCTGAGACAACTGCTGTAAAGTTTGGTGCCGCTTTGCTGGGAGGCTTTTTTCTCTTCTTTTTGCTACTGGCAACAAAATAATTGTGTGGGAACACTGAGGATGCAAATGGCAGACAGGATATCTGGGGGACTGACCCGTGAGTAGTGTGGCTTGTGATTCACGTTGGACAAAATGTGATAGAGAAGTTTAATATCGTGGAATCATAGAATGGTTTGGCTTGGAAGGGACCTAAAAGCTCATCTCATTCCAACCCCCTGCCATGGACAGGAACACCTTCCACTATCTCACATTGCTCCAAGCCCTGTCCAGCCTGGCCTTGAACACTTCCAGGGATGGGGCATCCACAGCTTCTCTGGGCAACCTGTGCCAGGGCCTCACCACCCTCACAGGGGAGAATTTCTCTGTAAAGTCTAATCTAACCCTGCCCTCTTTCCATTTAAAACCACTGCCCCTTGTCCCATCACTGTCTGCCCACATAAAAATTCCCTCCATTTATGGTGTTTCCTCCATAAGAAATACATTATCCACGTGTTTTGTTCATTGCTTTCTACAGGTGGTGAAGAAGTGCCCCGAGTGCTGCAGTGACGTGAAGAGGAAGCGATTAATCCAGGTTTTCTTATGGTCATAATCCCACCCACGGGAAGGGCAACAAGCCCCCTGTGCCCAGCAGAAGGTGGTGGCTGTGCTCCAGCTCTGCCACTGAGCAGGAGCAGGATGGAGGTTCATGCAAACCCCTTTGATCTTTTCCTCTGGATTACGATGCACCAACACGTATCATTTTCCTACGGAGGGGGTCGAGTCTGAAAGGTCTTGCTGCAGGAAACAAAGCAGGACATTGTCTTCTGTTGGAACTAGGAAGGTTAACTTTTTACTTGTTTTAACCTGTGAATTCTTCTGTGGCCACTCTTAGGCTGAAATTTTATATCCTTAGGGGCATCTGTCATTTACATGCCCTTCAAGGAATACCAGACCCTGGGAAAACCCCAGGAACGCTGTTACAGTGAAACTGAGCTTGCTAAGGAGGCCAGACTACCCATCCATACCACACCGGTGTTCCTGGAAGAGGTGATTCACATTCACTGGTGTTTGGCAGCAGCCACTGTCTCCAGTAGCAAAAGATACTGAAAGGATCATTTTTTACAGAAATTTTCCAGTGATGGATAGTGAGCAGAAGCTCCCTCTCATCTGTGCACCCCAGAACCTTATTCCATCTTCCATTGTGCTGGGATTTTTTGAAATGTGCTTCTGAGGAGCCTTTATTCTCTGCTCAGTGCCAGTGTTTCCATGTATCTGTGTTATCTGATGTTTGTTTTCCAAGAAGAAAAAGGAACTAATCAATCTAAAACTTAAAAATATATCATGTTAGATGGGTTAAAAAAAAATTCCTTAATACTTCCACTCTCTGTGAGTAGTGGGTATAAGTGGTTAACCTGGAAAATTTTATCAATTTTAAATCTAACATAGCTGCTGTAAATAAGATGGTACATAAAACCCTTCTGTTTTATTTGGGTTTGGTTTTATTTAAAAAAAAAAAAAGGTTTAAAAGAAATGACCAGATATAAAAAATACTGGGTATTGGGTCTCAATGGTCCTGGTAGGAACAAGTAGAAAGGTTAAAATCACCCTGTTGGTGATTTTCATATCAATGGAATTTGGAAAATTTTATCCTAATAAAATTTTATTGTTAATAATTGATAAAACTGAAAACCGAGTTGAATTTTAACAAAAGTTCTTATTTCCCTGGTTATAGAATTCAAAACTGGTGTCACCAAAGCAACTCCATACCTGAAATGTGCCTAATTTTATTTGTTGGTCAAGGGGTCGAACCTTCGCAAGTTGTGCCGAGTGCTTTTCATCATCCTTAGTTCTCCTTTGCTTTCTTAACAAGTAAAGCAACTCCTGCATTGTTGAAGGGATTTTTTAAATAAATAAAAGATGCTCCCAGAGGCAGCAGATCAGGCTCATGTGTCATGTTTTGCCTTTTTGGGGTGATCTGGGTTTTCTGACTGGGGCAAAGTCCCTCAGCTGCTCCCAAGCAGGTCCCTGTCACTCCTTTTCAATGCCCATTTTTAATTCTGGATGTATTCTCCTGGCCAGGACGAGCAGGGGAAAGGGTGAGGCTGGGAGCAGTGAGTGGTAAAATGTCATTTATTGGTGGATAGTTCAGTGCCTGGTTTGCTCTGAAGGTCTCTCCCAGGAAGCTGCAGCTGACTGCTCGTGCCACTGGAGGGAAACCACAGCACAGCCATGAGTCTGAGCATCTTCAGGGGCAGTGCCACATAGTTTTGGTCAGTTTTGCTGATGGAAATTACCTGCTATGGGCTCCAAAAATGCTGCCACATCCAGCAAGACTAAAGGAAACACTTTAAAACATGCATGGGATTGGCTGGGACAAATATTATGACACTTTTTTTCCCCCCTTCAACTAAAATATATTTCCAGCTGTGCTTTTTCCTGGAGTTGTTTTAGTCTGGAGACTGTTCCTACCTGGGAATGCTCCATTGTTAGTGACAATGCTGTTCCAGTGCTCTGCCACCCTCCATGGAAAGTTATTTCTCATGTTGAGGTGAAACTTCTTTTGTTTTAGTTTGTGGCCATTGCTCCTCGTCCTGTCACTGCACACCACTGACAAGAGTCTGACACCCACCTTTGAAATATTTATATGCATTAATGAGACCCCCTCCCAGTCTTTTCTTCTCCAGACTGAACAAGCCCAGCTCCCACAGTCTCTCCTCCAAGAGATGCTCCAGACCCCAAATCATCTTTGTAGCCTCTCCAGTAGCTCCTTGCCTTTCTTGTGCTGAGGAGCAAACTTGCTGAGGGTGCATTCTATCCCTTCGTCCTGGAAATTCTTTCTCTTGGTCCTTGTCTGTGGCTTATCTGCCCTCAATGAAACTCTCCAGCCAGGTGGGCTCAGAGCTGGGCTTCCTGCTGGGTCCAGTCTAGTGAAGAGGTTCATCAAAAAAAAACATCCCTCAAGGGGCTGTGCCTCAGTCTCCGGGGTGTGCTGGGAGATTAGTTTACTAATTCCTGAGATGATACATGCTGACAAAGCAAAGCCCTGACAGTCTTCAGCTCCAGGGTTATGTCAAAACAATTTACAAATCATCACAATTACTTTGGAGAGCTACAGGGGATTGAGATAAACTAGCAGTAAAATTAAAAACCATTTTAGAGAGATGTGTGAAACTCAGCCCATCACCTGTTTTGTGTAAAGTGCAAATAAACACAGCCCAGACCCTGCTGTCAGACCAGAGTTCTGATCCTCCTTGGCTCCTGCTGGAGTCTGAGGACTTTCTTTAACCTTGATGGGTAGAAACTGAACTTACTGGAAGGAGCTTTGGATTCTTCCTGACCATCAAGGTTTCCTTCTCCTTCTGGGTAGCAGAGAACTGGGTTTGATTTTCTTGGTGAATGGTGTGTTTAGCTCTTGTAGGTTTGGTCTTTAAGAGCGTTAAGAATGAAGTCCAGGAGATTCTCCATCCTCAGCCCCAGTGACTGACAGCTGGAGGTGAGAGGCTCATTCCCCTCTTGCAAATGCAGGATTGTTAATTCTCTGTACTGATCTGCAAAATCATGTGGCTGCTGGCTCCTGAGGAGAAAACCTCCACGTCCTCTCAGGTCCTCACTGTGGTTCCCCACATTTCCAGAGATTTTGCATTTGGTTTTTGAGCATGTGATCTGGTTTTGACTCTTCACCGATGCCTGTTCAGAGGGAATCTGGTGAGAAAGGGCAGAAGGACAAAGTGCAAGAGTCCTGTGTATTGAAGCAGTGGCAGTGCAGGGTGAGCAGGCAGCAGTACATGCTCTGCCCAGCACTGTACCTGCAAGGCTGAGTTCAGTTTCCACTGAAATCCTTGAGGTCCAAGACTTATGGCAGTGTCACCTGTAAGGGATTTAAGTGCTGTCCCCCTCAGCTGCTGGATGTTGTGGTCCCACAAAAGGTACCTGTGAGTGTTCAGTGTTACAGCTGGACACAGCGTCATCCTCGGTGCTCCCGGAAGGACAGAGTTGAAGCTCTGAGCCGGCTTTAGGAATGCAGTGCCTAAGCGCTCAGATGGGGGCTGTTTTGGCAGGCTCGGTGACCTCGGAGGGTGAGGGACTGGGATGGGGTCTTGCTCCAGAGCCCCTGGCAGAGCCGGGGGGATGATCCCCACAGCGCCGGTTCCACTGCCTCCAGCCAGGGCCAGAATCGGCCCCTCTGGGCTGCCTTTGGGGGGGCAAACTGTGCCCTGACAGCGAGAGGCAACTGCTGTTACTGGGAAGTTATTTGGCATTTACAGCCGGGGAACGGGGCGCGCTCGCGGGGGAATCTCCCTGCCTTTCCCCTGCCAGAAAACAATTCCACACCGACCCCCTGTAAAACCTACAGAGCTCTGAAAAACTGTGCGAATCCCACCTTCCTCCTTCCTCCGCACAGGCAAACGCACTTTATCGCCCCGAAAGCTTCACTTTCAGAGGCAAACGCAGAAACGAGAGCGAAAGCGGCGCTCAGGAAGAGGGGGAGCGCCGGGACGGGAAAGCGGAGCCGGTGCCGCCGCAACGGGGGTCCGGGAAGGCTTCGGGAGCCGGCGAGGAGTCACAGGGGGCAGGAGAGGTGGGGGGGGCGGGATGGAGCAGTCGCTTGCGCAAGAGGGGTCTCTCAACACGAGGGAGGGAAGGGGAGGAAAGGGAGACCCTGGCTGCTGCCCCGCCACTTCACCCGCTTCTGCTCCCCCTCGGCTGAGGTGGGCTGGGGGTGACTTTCCCCCACCCCAGGCGATTGCGCGTGTCGGGCGCTGCGTGGGAGTGCGGTCAGAACCTCCCGCCCGCAGCCGCTATAAGGCTCTGCTCCGTCCCTGGGCTGGGAAGAGCCGGCATCTCCCTCGGAGGAAGGGCTGACTCGGAGCAAAGCAGGCGAGGAAACTCAGTCCTTCCCAACAGCCCTTCCCTATATAAGCTCTTCCCAACAACCCTTTACTATCTGCCCTTCCCATTCTCCTTCTTTCCACTTTATTGCTGGCCGGCTGGCCCCACTGCGGCCGAGAGGAGCTCCAGCCCAGCCAGCATCAGCCCCTGAGAAACCTTCTCTGTCTCCTCAGGTTTCTGATCCCGGCGCTCAGAAGCCCCATGCTGTGATGCCATCCTGCCACATGCCGAGTTTGAGGCATCCATCCAAGGTAAAGTGCTGTCTGCTCGTCAGGTTGGGCACATGTGCTTTGAAAAAGGAAAGTGGGGGATAAACAAGCTCTGGGATTCTCCAGTACTATCCCGAGCAACTGGGTTTCCAAAAAAAGTCTTTGAGTTCCTATGGAGCATGCTACGTATTTGCTGGTTTGGAAAACTTCCCTTCTGCTTCTTGATCTGCCAAGGTCTCTCTTATCCCAGACAGGGGGAACTGACTGGGATGATAGAGGGGAATGTACTGGACCTGCTTTGAGTTCTGAAAGAGGGAAATGGGGTTATGAAGGTATCACAAATGGATTTGGGAAGGATGCTCTGTCACCTGGGATGGTAAGGGAAGGCACTGGGGAGGCACAGGGGGCAGCAGCTCCTCCCCGGTAGCACCGATGCTTTACCCCTGGGGCTGGGGACAGCATAGGGAGGGAGGATGATTTCTTGTACCTACAACAATAACAAGTTCTGTAACAGCAGCAGCCGCGTTTGCTGCTCCCGCCTCTGCCAGAGGACGAGCTCAGGGCTCTTTGCGCTGTCTTTGCTGCAGTGGATGTTTCCCCCTCTCCTCCTATTCCTGGCTGAGCTCGGCTGCAAAGCCCAACCCACGTACCCATGGAAGGACCCCGTGACGAGCGAGAGGCTCACGTGCCATCAGTGCCCGCCGGGGACCTTCGTGTTTCGGCACTGCAGCAGGGACAGCCAGACCGTGTGCGAGCCCTGCCCGGAGCTGCACTACACGCAGTACTGGAACTACCTGGAGAAGTGCCGGTACTGCAACGTGATCTGCGGCGAGAAGCAGGTGGAGGTGCAGCAGTGCGATGCCACGCACAACCGCGTCTGTCAGTGCCAGGAGGGATACTACTCGGACATGGAGCTCTGCATCAGGCACTCCGAGTGCCCGCCGGGCTCCGGCGTGGAGAAACCAGGTAAATACCCAGACAAGCAGCGCTGTGCGTGCTCACAAGGCTCTTGTCACATCCCAAAATCCCCGCTGGAGCTAAAAAATCAAGGAAAAATACAGCAGCCAATGCTTGCTCATAGCCTGACCTACTCCCTTTTAGCTCACTGTCACACTGCCATCCTCGCTGGCATGTGAAACTGCTCCTAATTTTTTTTTCCAAGGAGGAATGTGGTTGGGTTTTCCCTCAGCTTTCACTTCGAAAGCCTGTGAAATCCCCAGCACCACACTTAGGTGGGACATGGCAATCCCAGTTACCTCCCTCACCTGCTGCAACAGGCAGAGCCAGGCTGTGACTTGCCCATCCCCGGAGCAGCTGCTGGCTCTGTGTGGCTCTGGACAGGTGAGAAGGTCCAAGTTGCTCCTGCTCCTCCAAGAATTCCTTTCTTTCTGCATCAGGTAGCCCAGGAGCTGAGAAGGCTGATTGTCTGGACTGAAAAAGGTGGCTGGTGATGCAAGGGCAGGGCTGGTGGATGTGTGTAGCCCTGGGGCTGGGTTTTGTGGGTTTTTACTGAGCAATTAGGAGAACAATTTGTGTTGAAAATATGCAGTGGATACATGGCCAGGTTCCAAACCCATAAAATCAGCCTTGTTTCAATTCATGAGTCTGACACTCCATCTCCTTGTGTTATATAACTCCCAAGAGATTTTAAGGGGTTTATTTTCCCATTGTTTCCCCAGTACAGATTTCTCTGGTCCCTTAGTTGCTCTATGTGTATGTGTGCAAACTTTCTGAAAATATAAGTTGCCTAGAAGTGGCTTTTACTCTTTCTCCTTTTTCTTGCTCCCCCCTGAAACACCAAGGACCAGGGTCTGCCTGGCAACCACAGCTGGGTACAAACCAACCAGCGTGGGCAGCACCAGCAAATCCAGCAGTATTTTGCTTAATGCTTTGAAGTGGGGAGGCTTTTGAAGTGCAGAGGCTTTTGAAGTCCTTCCATCCACAGCATTGAAGAGCTCCAGGCTCACCTGTCAGAGGAGAAATACCTGTTGTCTTCAGCTGATACTGAAGGCTGAGGTTTGGGGTTTAATTTTCTGTAGGACATGACAAAATGCAATAATACAGTGAAAGGGGAAGTAGGTCTCCAAGCAATACAGGGAAGCTCTTTGAAATTAAACATGACATTTGTCCAGAGGGTTGGCTGTAGGACTGAGGAGCCATGTGAGCAAGCTGAGGATTTGAGGAGAAGCCATTTTTTTTGTTGTTATTATAATTTATTTTTTACAAATGTCTTCTTGTGTGGGAAGGACTGCACCCCAGCCCAGCCACCTGAACCCCACAGCAAGGACCTCAGGGCTGTCAGTGATGGTGTTGATGGGGATGATGTGCACTGGGGGCTTTGATTCCTCTGGGGGACATCAGCTTCTTTGGGATTTCCTATTTACAAGGAGTGGCTCTGGTGTTGGGGTTATAGCTGGGCTGGCTGGGACTTAGAATAGAATGGTTTGGGTTGGGAGGGACCTGAAAGATCAGACTTCTCTTGGGAAAGCCAAAGCAACAGACTAAAGTGGGGTGCGACAAGGTAGAAATTGTGTTTGCAATTAGATCTGTGAAAAGAAGGTGAAAGGGGTGTGAAATCTGCTGTGTCAGGGCTCCTAGGGAACGTGCAGGATGCCTGGTGCAATCCTGGCTGCGTGGCACTGTTCCTGTGACACCACGGGCAGGGCTGGCCCGGAGCCGGGGTGGGAAGTGACGAAGTGCTTTCATCTCCTCAGTGACTTTTACTTTCACTTGGCTGGGAGCCTCTGGCTCCACTGGGAACAAAGGGCTGGTTTGGCAGCTCACCCACTGGCCCAGCTGCAGCTCCTACCTGGGAGGTGGCCCTTTTCATAGCAGATGAGGTGTCCTCTTGTGTCAGCGGGCTGGTGACAATTTACCAGCACGGGCTGGGTGAAGGCTGGGGAAAGTGTTGCTGTTTGCCCCACACAAGAACATGCAGTGCCCAGGGGAGTTACAGGCAGTGATCATTTCCAAAACATCACCCTCACGCTCCAGTGGTGTCTGGCATCGGCTCCTACCTCTGTTCCCGGCTCGTCACCTGACAGTCCCCTTGTCCTTCTGTGCACAGGTACCCCCTTTGAGGACACCAAGTGCCACGAGTGCCCCCCCGGCTTCTTCTCCTCCAACTCCAGCACTGATCCGTGCCAGCCACACCAGGACTGTGAGCAGCAGGGGAAGGTGACCAACGTTCAGGGCAACCAGTTCCACGACACCCTCTGCACCTCCTGCAGACTGGGGAAAGGCAACACCACGCAGGGACCAGGTGAGATGCGGCTCTGTGGGCACAGGGGGTGCCAGGACCACGATGCTGCCGGGGCAAGAGCAAACATTCTGGTGACTTTCTCCTACTTAGATGCAAAATGAAGTGAAATGGTTTGTAAAAGTATGGAGTGATCCACAATTAATAATAATTATGGGTAGAATACAGTCTGTCTGTCTGCCTGCCTGCCTTCCTCTCCCTCCAGTGTCAGTCCCATAGTGCAAAGACAGGTTGCTGGGCTTAAGCAATGGCCACCACTCAGAACAAAGAGCTGGCAGTAAAATCCTGCTGGATCTTACCAGGAACAACTGGGAATGCTGGGACAGGAGGACAGTTTTGGCAGCCTTTTGACTGTAGCTGATAACTGATGTCTGATGGTCATGCAAACAGCCAAGGTGAGAAGGGCTGAGGGATCCAGCTTGGCTCCTGGCATGGATCCTGTGCTCCCTTTTCCCGGACTTCAGCCTGTTTTCTGGAAGCTTTTATTGCAGCATGGCCTGGTCTCGTGCAGGTTGAACATAGCAGAGTCCAAGGTTAGTCAGAGCTGAGCATAGGGTGGATTTTGACTTGTCAGCTGAAAAAGTAGAGATGTGGTGTCAACTGTGTCACTGCAATGGTACAGATGAGCCTCAGTGGAGGTGGAAGGTCAGGCAGGAGCAGCCAGTGGGCACAGATCAGAGAATCCCAGAACCCTGGGCTGGAGGAGACCTCAAGGACCATGTGGTCCAACCTTTCTTGGCAAAAGAACAGGTGCAGGGCAGAGCAGAGGGCTGGCTCAGGGGTGATCTATGACAGCGAGGAGGCTGTTTTCCCCAGCTGCTCTCGCCTTTCCATCCTCTCCTGGCACCACCAACCCAGGCATTTCTCCTTACCAATCCTGACTCACACTGTGAGTTCCCTGCCAGGAGCATGATCTCTCTGCAGAGAGATGGAAAGCTCTGTCGTCAGCAGGACACGGTCCTGGGAGTAGGGGGGTGGTCAGGTGGGGGCAGCATCAGCAGCACGTGCATCAGGAAACGGCCCTGCAGCCAGACCGGCCCCTTGCAGCTATTTATAGAGGAGAGGAGGCCCCAGCAATGGGAGTTGAAGGGTATTTTTAACTCTGTTTTGTCATGATTCTGCTCAGGAGGCACACTGGGACCTGCTCATCATCAGCCTGAGCAGTGGAGCCCAACCCACCCCACTGTAACCAGTGAAACCGTTCCCAGTTTGCAACAGCACGAAACTGAGTTATCTCTCTCTCCTTGACTGAGTAATCCTTTGGCCTTGGTCTCTTGAAAATTCTTTGTTTTCATTCCTTTTTGCTGGATGCCCTCCAGCAACTTCCACAAGCTGGGGCAGGATCTGTCCCAGTGCCCTGATTGGGGCTGTGCTTGGGGCTTGTCCTGTCACAAGATGTACAAATCTGCATAGGAGAACAGAAACTTGCAGGAAAAATAATGTGTAAACACTTATTGCAATTAATCCAGATTTTTCTGAACTTTTCCTCTTCCTCTACTCCCCAACGGGGAGGAGCCTGGAACAGGTATAGTTACTTTTTTTCAGAATTACAGAAACTTTTACACATTGTTTTCCAACTGCCACGTGTAGCATGGGTCACTGATGGGAAGTTCAGCCCTCCACTAGAACAGGTTGCTACAAGCCCCGTCCAAGCTGGCCTTGAACACTTCCAGGGATGGGGCATCCACCACCTCCCGGGGCAGATGTCCCACGGAGAGGCTTGGCAGGGCTGTGTCCTGCTCTCCAGTGTCCCAGGCTCACTTCCCTCTAACCTCCAGCTATTTCCCCCCACCAGCTGTAGAGGACGACTGTGAACAAGCCATGATAGACTTTGTGGTGTATCAGAACATCCCCGTCAAGAAGCTGAAGCGTCTCCAGCAGATCCTGGAGCGCTCACCAAGGAAGCAGCAACCATGGACCAGGGCAGCCATCCAGGAGAAATTCCGGACTTTCCTCACTCACAAGAAAGAGGAGCACTACGAGGTCATCAAGAAGCTGCTGGACGCGCTGCGCCTTGTCAAGCTCCACTCCATCGAGGAGGAGGTTCGCAAGCGCTTCCTGCTGCTCTGAGAGCACGAGCTGGACTTTTTGGGTGCTTTTTGGTTTGGTTTTTTCCTTCTGTGCCTTCATTAATTTATTCATCTTTCCAAGCATAACTTGAAAAGCAGCATGAGAGATGAGTGATGGGTTGGAGCGACACTGTGCTGTGGCATCGGTGGGATGGGATGGATGGGATGGGAGGGATGGGATGGGATGTGTGAACAGCAGTGTCCCTACAATGGCACAGCTCTGGGAGCTCTTCAGGTGTTGGCCACTGATTTTCCAGCCCTTGACAAGGGTCAATATTTTATCAGAAGAGAAACCTGCACCCAGGGTCATTATTTCCGTGAAGAACCCAGTCCTCCTTGGAGAAAACTGTCTGGCTTTGTTTTAAACTGTGTAAGTTTGGTTTCGTTGGAGGGTTTAATTATGTAATGGTATTTCCCACTGAGGATTCACTTGCATTTGTTTGTCACACTTTAGTTTGAGAAGGCAGTTGCTGCTGAGGCACAGGGTGGCGGAAAGTCACTGGTACACCCAGCTTGAAATGTATTTCTTAACTACCTATTTTTATACCTTATGTGAAAGTTGTTTTCTAAAGAAGTTATTTTATTATACAATTCTCTGTCACCAGAGTCCTTTCCTAGTCTCATTTGGAGGTGATGTTGGGAGTCCCAGACTGTCATATCTGACCCTGCTTACCCTTGCCTGCTTTTTGCACATACTTCTCACCATGCTGGCATCCCTGCTCATGGCATGGGGTTGGAACAAGATGAACTTTAAGGTCCCTTCCAGCCCAAACCATTCTGTGATTTGGTGATCACACAATACCAGCCACCCCGCAGCCCACCAGCTCCAGCCCCTGTGAGCCATGGTAAGGCCACGTGCCAGTGGGATGCAGTCTGTCTGCGCTTGGATTTGTGGCCAGGGTGAAGCTCAGGTCTCTTGGCTCAACCTAACCATGTCCCATCTGAGCCCCAGGTTTGTTCCCAGACCCAACCAGATACTGCAGCAAGCAAAGAGTTGCTCAGTCAGCCAAAGACCAGGCTTGGGGCACTTGTGCTGACTGCAGAAGGGTTTTTTAAGCAGATGTTGCTTAGGAAAGTCAACAAGAGTGACCCCCTCAGGCATTTTCCAGCCTGTAACAATGATGACGGCAGAGCTACGTTTGCCTTGAATGAGTTGGACTTTTTATAGCTCTTTTTTAACTAAGCAGTTGCCAGGAATAGTTTGTGGTTCAAAAGAGGAATATTTTCCCCCAACTTGGAGCTATTTAAAGCTCTCTGAAGCATGTGCTATGTGGAAGTGCCCCCACACTCGGTTTTCTCTGAGGCAGAGTGCAAGGCAGGACACCCAGAGCTGATGGATTGAAGGCAGGAGCAGCCGGAGCCTCCAGCATTGGCTGCAGCTCCTTGAAGGATTCCCATCCTGCTGCATTGCAGTTAGTCCCGACTCAGCACAAAGGATTCTGTGTCCTTAGTCTGAAATGGAACAAGAATGGAGGGTTGTTAAGTGCAGAAACCACCTCCTGTTCTTCATCCACACCACCGTGGCTTCTTCAAATATGTGGAAGTTGAGGAGGAGAGAAAATGGGAATATTATTGGCAAGAAGCTGATAATCATTATCTTAGATCCTGGTTTAGTTGGGTGACTTTTAAAGAGAAAGAGGTGCCTTCTCTGTGTATTTTTTTGTGATAGAAGACCTCAGTGCTGAGGTGGAAGTCCCTATGGGGCCTGGTGGCTGAGCTCAGGGTCCTGGGACACTTTGTGTGGTCCTTGGAGCTTGCTGCCCTTCTCACCAGCAAGGCAAAACCTGGGGTGTGGGCTGAAGGCTTCCAGCAGCTACACAGGGAGCCAGCTCTGGTCCCTGAACTCCTGGATGAGCTGTGTTTGTTCTGGCAATGCCTCATGGCTGAGGGCTCTGGATCTGATCAGGCACTGGCAGAGGTGGAAGCAGAGCGGCCATGGAGAAGAGCCCAGGAAATGTTTTATTTCTGCTGAATGCTGGTGCAGAGGAGGGAAGTTTTGGGTCTTTTTTATTATTTTGGGGGTTTTACCAACCATCGTGAGTGCTCTGTCCCACCTGGACACCAGTCTGCACAGACCCTTTGTCCCTTCAGATAGAGCAGATGCAGCAGATGCTTTGACAGGCTTGCTCTCACCCAGAGGTTTGCCAAAGTTCGTGGCCCACAGCTGTGACTCCAAGGGGTTAAACACCCCATGTAGGTGTGGAAGGGAGAGGAGAGCCTCAGCTACTCCCCATCTTCCTGAGAAGTGATGCCTTGCTGAGCCTCGTGGCCCTCCCAGCACGAAGTGTGGGCCCACCATGTCTGACCCCTCCTTGGAGGGGGATGATGAATGTCTGGCACCCATGTGCTGTGCCAGGTTGCAGTGGGAACCACAGACCTCAGCTTGCCAGGGCAGGAGAGGGTGATTAATTAACTGGGGATGGCCCAGATTGTGTCAAAGAGCTCTGCACTCCCAGGTTGCCCCTGCTGCCCCCAGCAAACGCAGCACTGAGGGGCTGGGGAGGGGGTGATGCCCTGGGCCAGCAGCAGCTCCCTGGCTTGGTACCACCAGTGTGACTTGCTCTGCCAAGGTGTCTCCTGATGCTGAGGTGGTTTGGAGCCTCTCCCCAGGTCTCTCCCTGACCTAAGTCCCCTCATTGCTGAGTTAGCTGGAATTTCTGCGCCAGGAAGTTTTCTCACAGACAGGATGACTGGGAAGGTTCTGGTAAATACTGACCATTATAACAGTGGCCAAACACCCCGGCACGTGAGTTCTGCTCAGCCTCCAGGAAACAGGCTTTGCTGGAAAAGCCAGGATGAGCACTGCATGGTGCCAGTCCCAGCTCCTCCCACATCTGCTCCCACCACCCAACACCCGGACCAAGGCAAGCAATCCCAAACCACCCTCGAGCTGATCATGAGATATTTCACCTTTTCAGCTAATTGAAGTTAAGAGGATGAAAACCCCTTTTGGTTTCCACTGAAGTTTCCAAAGCCCGGAGAGAGAAGAGGAAGAGTCAGCATCGTGAGCTGTTTCCCTGATGGTTTAAGTGACTCTTTACTCATAAGCTGTGGCTGAGGACAGCACATGGTAACATCTAAAAGTGGATGCAGCGCTCTCCCGGGATGACTCAGATATTCAGTACACAGAAGATAATTTTCCAGATGCTTACAAGCACTATATAGAAAGCCCAAGCCCATGCTGCTCTCCACGTCAGGCTGTTAAATGCTTAAAACGGGATAAACTCCCACAAAATGATTTAGTTGGTTTAAAGTGCTGAGGTGGGTTAGGTCGGTGCCGTGGGCTCCTCGGCCACCTCTCACCACAGCCAGGTGTGGCAGTGACTCAGGTTGGCAGTGATGCCTCAAAGCCCAGAGCACCAGCAGCAGGAGCTGACGTGCTCCCGGCCTGCTCGTCGCAGGAGCCGCCGGGACACGTTCCTCTTTTGTGAGAGGAGAGCGCCCCGAGTGCTGGTCCAGCTCCAAGGGCTTGGAACGGGTTTAGGTGAATGATTAACGTGAGTGGAAGGAGTCAGTGGGAGTTTCTTTGGTGAGGTCACGCCTTGACCTCACAAGCAGGTAGAGCCAGGATTGCTGGAGGAAAACAAGGGTGGGGATTTTCTCAGGTGTGCAGAGGGATGCAGAGGGGATGGAACCAATGCAAGCACATAATCCAGCTTGTCAATGCAGGCTGCAGCCCTCTCGGCCCCGGGGTTGCCACCTTTTCACAAGGTGAGTAAATTCACTCTCCTGCCTGCAGATTTCCCCTTGTCCCCACCCTCCTGTGTCACTCAGCGGTGTCAGTGGGCTGAGCCCTCCCAACACTGTGGGAGAGGACTCAGGGAGTGCTGGTACACACCAAACTTGTTTAAATTCTCCCATCACTATTCCAGAGGCGCTAATTTTATCTTGTTTTGAAGCACACTTCTAACCTTCTGACTGTAGCATTTTCCCTTCCGGCTGTAATACCCTGTGTTGTGTGTCCAAACTGTCCCTGCTGAGACTTGTCCCTCACTGCTGCTTCTGCAGTGACCAAATGATGGGACCAAACTCCCCAGTGCCACTCCTGGAGGGGGACAGTGCCAGCTGTGTTGGAGAAGCAGAGGTGATCCTGAGAAAGTCCATCCTGTCCTAGAGCAGGAGCAGGGATGGCTGAGGTGTGCAGGGATCCTGTCCTAGAGCAGGAGCAGGGATGGCTGAGGTGTGCAGGGATCCTGTCCTAGAGCAGGAGCAGGGATGGCTGAGGTGTGCAGGGATCCTGTCCTAGAGCAGGAGCAGGGATGGCTGAGGCATGCAGGGCAGCCCAACCTGTGGGACAGAGAATGTGGACGTTGGGAGCTGCTCTTCTCCCACTGGGTCTCACTGCCAGAGTTCAACAGCCATTTGGACAATGCTCTCAGGCACATGCTGGGATTGTTGGAGTGTCCTGTGCGGGTCCAGGAGCTGGACTTGATGATCCTTGTGGGTCCCTTCCAACTCAGGATATTCTCTGATTCTATTAGATCAGACACTTTTTTTCTCCCCTGACCTGGCTCCCAAGGTACTCAGACTGTAATGCTCAGGTTCTGGGCACTGTCTGCCCTTAGCTTGAATAAAATCAGAACATATTAGTAAACCTTCTGATGCCCTTTAACTTACAGGAGTTTTCTGGGTGACACAGTCATGGCCACAGCTACTTATCTGTACACAACACCCTTGCTGCTTAGAACCACAAGCCCTTGCTGTGTTATTGTCTGAGTCAAGAGGAGACTTCCCTGAGCAACTGTTTGCTTGCCCTTGAAAACAAAGGCTTTTTCCAATTACACAACGTCTAGGGAGGGAGGACAGAAAACCTGCTGTATCTAAGTGACTAAACAGTATTGGGGATTCCAGACCTCACAGTGCCATGAGGATGTGGGGAGAACTGAGGTTCCCATCGTGGTGTCTTTTGTCATTGCTCACCCAGGAAGAGCACTGAGCACTCAGTGCATCAGGATCCTGTGCTCTCCACGTGCTCTGAACACAGAGGAGCTCCAGCAGTGTGGTGGCTTAGCTGTAACATGTGAGTGGAGCCAGGAGACTCGGTCATTTTCCTATGGAAACACAGGGAATGATGACTTCCCAGCTACTGCTGTGAAGACATGAGCTCAGCAAGGATGTGCACTGGGTAGTCAGTGCTGCTGAGTCTCAGGCATGTGGGCTTCAGGGTGTTTTTGACTGGGAAGCATAAAGGACCAGATAAAGGTCTGGAGGGTCCAGACTGGCATCAGGGACTTGCTCCATTCAACCTCAGTCAGATCACACAGATTTCCTACTGCTGGTTTTCATTTCTGTCTCTGCTTCCTTCTGTGATACTGGAGCTTGGGAGGTGATGTATTAGACTTATTCTTCCTGTAAGTTAAGACTAGAATTCTTTAGCTGGGAAACTCGGGGGGTAATAACAGGACTGTACATTCCCCATTCCACGACTCTGAATCCGAAAGGACAAATTAGCTCTGACAAGATCAACCCTGAGTTCTTCTTTTGCTCAGTTTCATGTGTTGTTTGCTCTCACGTCAGGGAGGAACAACCT